CCTTCCATTTCCTCTAACGAAACTGGTGGCCAAGCAGGAGCGTCAAAAGGTTCGGACACCACTCCCACTGCCACTCTCTCATTTGAAGTTAGATAAAAGTTAACTGGTCCCCAATGTTAATACCTGCAGATCACGGTCTCTTTTTGTGATCACAGCTCTAAACATTGATATTTTTTTAAAAAAAGCAGAAACAGGAAAATAGCAAATGGTTCTTATAAGCTAAAATGGTATCAAAGGAGTGCTCCATATAATCATTTGGTTAAGTGTATTTCCAAGTGGCAGAGATTGTAAGTAGAAGAAAATGACTACATCAGCTGGCTCTCCTGGCAACAGTCTTCAGATCTCTCCAGGGTGTCTTCTGACCCTCATGACAGCAATTTATGGCTTGCGAAGATCCCCTCACCCTGTTGTTTCTTTACCGGGAAACAAATCTAGTAAAAGTTTTAAAGTTAATCCCCAGAGACCAGCAGGAGCTCTGTGAAATGTCCCCGGAAACAATATCTAAAATGTTTTTATAACCCTCAATTTTGTAGACCTGTGATATATAACACAACAGGCTTTTATGTAATTAGTATAAACAAAATTCGTTGGCCCTTCTTCTGCTTTCCAGTTTACCTCTATCTGTAACAGTTCCACTCAATCAAAACCTCATGATACGTGGTTCCTATTTTTGTGCCCTAAATATCCAACACTGTATTAAGATTTGGCTATAAAAAGCCACACCACATTACTTGCTACAAAACTGCATTGAGCCACACAGTATTAGTCCAAAACCTATAGTCATGTGAATCCTTCTTATGATGTCCTATTATAGTGAAACACTCTCAGTCTTAGTACAGACTTCAACGTCAGAGAGTAGAGGAGGGGTTATATTCCAGTGGTGGGTGAGGCCAAAGGTTAAAGATTTGAACCTTGAATGCCAATATATTTTGAGCATTCCACTCTTACTTTCAGTACCAAAGTATTAGGAAAGACACTGCAACTGTTTTGACAGAAAAAAGCGTATAAAGCCAAAAAGTCAAAACAATGGTGTCATGGGGAAAGGGGAAATGTCTATTTCAGGAACCATCAGAGTACAAGATTTCCTATCCCTTATACAAACCCTCTTCTTGTATATCACCTTCCCAGCAATCAGAAAAACCTTTCTTGGGATCACCATGGGCACATACAGCCCATTGGTGACCAAATACCTCAGGGAGCTAAATGTGGCCTTGTTCCACATTAACCAGAGTTGGGGTTAATCCCCCAACATTGGGGCTGTCTGAACAGTTGAACCAGTTCCAAAGCTGTCCTTGTTTCTATCATGTGTTTCCCAGACATAGGAGACCTGGGGATACAGGACAGCAGCAGTCAATGTTCCCTCCCATCCTTTATTTTGCTTCAAGCTATGTCACAGGTCCCACAGGCCCACTGTCACTTTCAGTGATGCTGACCAAGGTGACAAGGCACTCAGAGAAAGGAGAAGGGCGAAGAGGAAGAATTCCTCCTCTCCCCCTCACCAGCCAAGATCTCTATGTATGATAGCAGGCTATCCAATGATTACATAATCCATTGAGAGCCCCACAACATCTTAGCAGACCTCAGCATACGTTAATATTATTTTATTATCTGACTAGAGTCAAACAGTCAGACATTTTTATAATTCCCCACCTTTGTTCTCCACCAGTCACTGAATGGCTCTGAGAGAGAAGAGGGTTGCAGCAGTTCTAGAGTGGTGAATGGCCATTATGGCATACCACAGTTTCACATATGGAACTACTATGCCACAGAATTGTACATGCAGATTTCCACATATGAAAGACTGTCAGAATTCAACTTTGTGAAGAAACTCAGTTTGGTAAAATAATTCTGAGGGAAGGGAACAGGACTAGGCAACAAAATGGACATTGGTAAATTAAGACTATAGACAGCATTTACCCGCCAATACTTACAGATCTTGTTTGCTTTTTTGATGCTGATGGAGAAACTTCAAGAATTTCTACAATATACAAATGGCACTGTTTTCTGAGCCAGAGTTTTCCATCTCTATCTGCCAAATATCTTAAAACTAATAGTTTGAACAAGAATTCTGGAATTCCAGTCTGAACCTAGAAGAATATGTAAGTGTCATGGATCAACAACAAGAAGAGGTATCACTTCTTATTAGCATACGGATCAAAAAATTTTAAAAGGCAGGATAAAGCAGAGCAAAATACACATCCTTTTTATACCATGAATAAAATCCTGAATTTCTTCCTTGGTATGTTTTCCAAATGAACAACTTAAACCCTTGTCTTGTCACAGATATATTAACTACACCAATGTCTACAGTTGCACAAAATGAATTAACATCTCTATTATACTCACACAAGTTACCTACAGTCAAACATGAACAAACAGGAAAATTTTTGTTTCAGATTACGACAGCGTTTATGACTGACCATATGTAATGAGCATATTACATGCTACCATTTCCTAATCAAACAAAAAGAAACAATTTTTAAGAATTGCACACACCCTCTTAGATACTGTGAAGAACTTTATTTAGCTGCACATTGCAGCTAAAGAGCTTTATTTTAACAATCAGATTTGTGCCATTATTTAAAGGAATGCACATGATCTCATTACAACAGAAGCAGCAGTTATGATGGGTCTCTCTCATCTTAGCTACTTTTGCCACTGCCATTCCCCAAAAGCCTCTCTCTCAAGATAGACAGCTCACAAACCAAAGGATATCTGATACCCTCCTGATTGGGGCACTGGAAGACGATGGCTGCAGTGCTTTCCCAGTTGCAGGCACACTGAAATAGGCATCTAGAGAGACCCCTTGGGGTCTGTAAGTTCTTTGGTTAATAAAAAACTGTTATGTAAATCCCCAAAGTTACAAGATATGCCTTGGAATCTGATACATATTCTAGACAATGCAAATCATTATGATTATATTTAAATTATTAAATTACAAATTATTTAATCAATAATTTAAACAGCCATTATTGCAGTAATTTGCATCTTTATTTAAATTGATCTGCCTTGCTCAGTGATCTAATGATTGTATATGTTCGGTATATACATCCATTAACAGAATGGCTTATACATTGCGAAACATGGGATGAAGGAATAATGTGTGTAAACTGTAGAATACTCACTGAGGAAGTGATATCAAAATGAAATATCATAGGCTGTTTCTGGTGCTGGTGGTCCAGGAATGGGAGGAGAGACTTTAGCAATTTGCTTTCATCAACATGCGGATCTATAAGTCTAATAGTTTTTAAAGGCACTTTTCTGTTCGGGAGTCTTGCTTTCATTTTTTCATGCAACCTCTTTACATATAGAGATTTTCCTACAATTATTAACAAAGCAATATTTTAGACATTACTGGACACAGAAGAAGAAAACCATACTACAATGATGCAAAACTGGTTTTAGAGTCTGATTCAGCAACATATAAGAAGTATCCAGGCATGACTAACCTGAAATCTTGGAAGCGAAACAGGTTCAAGTCCAATTAGTATTTAGATCTGGCATCCTTAAACTGCAGCCCTCCAACTCCCAAAAGCCCTTGCCAGCTTGTTCAATGGCCAGGAATTCTGGGAGTTGGATGCCCAAACTGCTGGAGGGCAGTGGTTTGAGAATGCCTGATTTAGATTATAGAGGAACCACTAGGGAATGCCACATGTTGTGAATTATATTTCAAAGGACAGTCATGGCAAACAAAGGTATTCTTTGCCAACGGATTCATTGGTTATTCCAAGTCAACTGGTGACTTGAAGACACACGTGCATAGAAGCATACAAACATGCATGCACATTCACATGCAGAGAAGGCATATGGACAGCGAAGGGACTTACGTGATGAATGTGTGGATACAAATTTCAGTTAGGCCAGTACAAGGTGCCCCCCCCCCAACATATACCAACCGCATTGGGTGCTCTCTGTTTTGGGAATACTTATGAAACAATTAGGACCGTCAATGATATTGAATTCATGTACGAGCAGTATATGCCCATTCTTGACATAAATACTGTCTTCTTCAAACATTTCACAAAACAGCTGGTGAAAATACCCACTTTGAAGTAAATATTTTGTTTGGGCATCCCAGCTTGTAGCTTTATAAAATATGTAACCTTGTGGCGTCTCTCCTATTCCTGTTCTGATCTTACATATGTACAACTGGTGGTCAAATAAAAGTATGAAAATGAAACCAAACAGTGGACAATTTAAAATAAAATCACAATAAATAAAATGCATTGTGCTGTTCTAAAGATTCAAACAATTAAGGAAGAAAGAGGGAAAATGAACTGTTTTTCAGTAATATTATAAACAGACCACTGATGAGGAATTCTTCTGGGCAATTTAAGGTTGCATTTAACACTTCCATTGTAAGTGAATGACCTTACACACTTTTTTCTCCATTAGAAGTCTTAGATCATGAAGAAAAACCTAGTTCATTTCCTAAAATCTTTAAATACTTCATAAGCATGGAAAGTTATTTTTGACCCCAAACTGCAGCCACTAGTGGGGTATAGCAACAACAATTTGTTATTCAAATTACTACACAATTAAAAACAGAAAAACTTTTTGAATTGGAATACGTGCAGAAAAGGGAAAATTTGCGTTCTGAAACTGGGTATCACGTATCTTGTGACTGGAGGTCACACATGTACTATAGTTTTAAATTTCAGACTATCTTCAGAACTCATGCTTTCAAATAATGTAAACAAGCTACCTCTTCCCCCTTCCTCTAGTGGGATTTTGAGTAATTCAGAAGCTCCTACTACCAATTTTAAGGTAAGCATGTTTCTTATTGTTTGATGTTTATCTCCTTCAATCAAACTGCAGCTAACATTAATACAATTTTTCTGGAATTAGAGAAACTACAGTTAATCCTGGTTAACTGAAAATGAAACATTTCTACCTTTTTGTGTAGGTACACTAGAAGAGGAAAAAACACCTTTCAGGCTTCTTGTGGCCCTTGTCAATGTGCACATCAAAAAAAAAGGAGGGAAAAGAGAGGGAGTTGTTACATCGTTATATGTTTCAAGGGTGGGTAATTTAGCTGTTCCTTGCACTGAGAATCCAATCAAATTTCATCATTGACTGTGATGTTCCTGATTTAGTGGCTCTCGGCACTCTGAAATGAAGAGGGAACCGGTTTTAAATTTAAATCTCTTACCTACTCCAGCTCTTTTGGAAGATACAATCCCAACACACAATTGGTCTTTGAAAATAGAAGCTAATGCATTTGCAGGCTCTGTGACTTTGTAATGATTCTCAAGGTAACACTGGATGTCCTTCAGAGGTTGATGAGGGGTCATGTGAACTTTGTACTGACTAAAGACAGAAGGGATATAGCAATGCTCTCTCTCGCAATTGCAGAAGATCACCAAGTGATAGTCATCCTGATGCTTCAAGTGAAGGCTCTGGAACAGTTCCTCGGACCTACAGCCAACATCATAGCGCAACTCATCAGCAAACAGCAAAGTGTAAATTTTCCTCTCTTTGCAGCCTGGGGTGAGGCATCGCCTCAGGAACAGAGCCACTTCCTCATAGCTGGTGTGCGTCGTACATAACAAGACCTCATCATAAGAGGGGAGCATCTCCCCTGGGCTGTTCATGTAGATGGCCAGGGCTGAAGTCAGCACCTCAGGACGAGAACAGAGAATGAGGTTGGGCCTGCCAACATGAAGACCTTGTGGTAATATCCGCACAACACTCCTCTTCTCCAGGTCTGCCAGTTTGTCAAGGTAGACCCCAAGGCATTCAACATCCAAGCAATCTGGAAAGAAGGAATCCATGCATTTCATGTAGGCTCCCCAAATACGTTCCAGCTGTGCTGTCAACTCTGACTCACTTGTCACCAGCCCCGACAGATTGGTGGAATGCCTCTTTGGCTTTTCAGATTTCACCACTCTGAAGATCTCTTGGATTTCCTGTTCACTGCAATTGTGCTTTATGAATGACAGCAGCATTAGGGCAGCCTCATTTGGGTGCTTGGAGCCAAGTTCCTTGCACAAGTACACAAGCTGCTCAGCTGTGTAGTAATTCAAGTAAAAATACTGGGATCTCTTCTCATACATGAAGTGGTTCCATCTCTCCAGAAAATTCTCCATCTTCCGGCATATGGCAGGTAGAATTTCTGCTACTTCTCCATTTCCAAAAAGGGTGCAGCTAGCATCCAAGTTGAAGTCCACAATAATAGAGAATTCACTCTCAGGTGAGCAATAGATTTCAGCAATCCAGGAACGGAAGAGCATGTTTCCAGCACAGTAAATGTCTATGAAGGCCAGTGCCAGTCTTTGGACACTTGAAAATACCTGGACATAGGACAAGCAAACATAAAATAGGACTGAAAGGAAATTTAAAAGGCACTAGTACTACAACAATAAATGCAAACCACATACCATCAACTTCAACTGCCAATTGCTTAGAACAAATCTGAGTCATCTCCACAAACTTAAGAGAGCTATGACCTATGGATGTTTAGGAAAGTATGTTAACTTGCAGTCTGAAAAGCTTCAAGATGAATATCATATTTAATATTTTGTCATTACAGCAGAATATTTTTTAATATTACGGAGCTTTCAATGACACAAAGAACCAGGTCCAATTAAAGATATATATAAGACTAATCAAGCCAGTGTTGTGTAGTGATTTGAGTGTTGCATTCTGATTTTTTTAACTACTTTTCAATGCCTCACTCATCCATGGATACCCAAAGAGTAACACTGAGCAAGTTATTTCCACTCAGCCTCAGAGGAAGGCAAACAAACTCTGAACAGATCTTGCCTAGAAAGCTCTGTGGTAGAGTTGTCCTACATTGGAAACAGCAAGACTGCAAAATTAAATTCACAGAGACAGCATAAAGTAATGGTGCCATAAAATGCACAGTATGTACAGTACGTTTCATTATCCTAATCAGGATCCATTTCAAATTTGGAAACTGCTCATGAAGGGTTTATTCAAAATGCAAATGGTTAAGCACTGGGGAAGAAGTAGTAAAAGACTTAAGAAATAGCTCACTGAGCAGTGTCAATCCAATTCCAATGAAACAATATTGAACTCCGTTGTTTAGCTATTTCACATCCAATGGTAAGGGTAGTTCTATACTAACACTAAAACAATTTAGGAGGAACCAGCTTCGCTGCGCATGTGTTCAGACTGTGGTATCTGGAACTGGTTTGAGAATGTGATTTCCAGGAGACCCTGAACCGCTTAGGGGTCAGGAATGTGATTACATGTACCACATCACCTGGCTTCAAGCTGCTTTGCAGAGATTTTTTTCCTGTTTCTGGAAAATATGTGCACCAGTGGTATACAGGATGAAAAAAAAGCGAAAGTAGGAGGTAGGAGCAGGTATAATGCATTGTCTCTCCCAGGGGGTCATCAGCCTTTTGTTCCTCAACCTTGCCCTTTTTGGGAGATCTCATTTGGGGGTCTTTACTGCACTTTAACAGAGATGGGTGTCTAGAATGTGCTCTGCATCTTGTAGAGCTCTAGAAAATTCTGTGAATGTACACAATTCAGGGTCAGACTAGAGATTTGTGTGATTTGCAGAGACCACAAAAAAGACATGTGTTTATCCACTAAAGGAACTGCTAACCACTCCCTTGGAATCTGTACTCCATGAAACACGGAGGTGGGGATTTTAAATACTCGTCTTTATGGAAGTTGGATAACCTGTAACACGCAGAATTCTCTTTTTTCTTATTGTTATCCACTCTCTTTACTCTTAAAATTAAGATATGAACAGTGCAGGATGCTAGCACTCCCCAAAACATACAGAAAATCCAAGTGAACCTACCTCTGAAAACGTGTCCACTTCTGCATTTTGTTCTTCTTTTCCTGACATTAACATCAGTTTGTTCATTAATTCTCTGAGCTCTTCTAGAGAATACTGTCGAAACTCTTCTGTATGTTCATATCCCTCTTGGATGGTCAGGCATAACACAGTGTCCAGAGAAACCTTACAGCAGATATAATAATAATAATAATAATAATAATAATAATAATAATAATAATAATAATAATAGCGTTGGGAATCAGTTTCTGCCTTCTTCTAATTGCCCGTACCCTTCAGTTAACAAAGCATCTCACAAAGAAAACCCTTTTAATCTTTTTAGTCCCATTTAGCCAGTAGATTTTATTTTAGCAGCATAACTACTGTGAGGAGGGTGGAGAAGGGCTGGATAAATAAGTGTTGAATATTCAATTGTATCAATCTGTTTATAGCAAACAAAGAAAGGGACAAACAAGGCATAGAACTGGAAGAGAGAGCAGAAGGAGCTAGTACTTTTGGTTTTTAATATTTACTTTCAAGCAATGTCTTACCTTCTGGCCTTCAACTGGAGCTCTAATTTTATAGATTCCTTTATTATTGATTGTAGTTGCCAATGATATAGATGACAATTCAACAGAGCCATGGCTCTCTTTTATGGTTTTGAGCCATTCCAAATGTCTTGCAGAGTCACACTGGGGAGTGCAACAAAAAGTTAGTCTGGAATAATTCCAAAAATTATTGTACTAGTCAATGGTTTGTTATCCACAGATGGTTACAGGGTATGATTTGGAGACAAATGATAATTTTCAGCAAAGCACATAATGTTTGCAATCCTTTATGTTCTATAATGCTGAGCACAGTGATAGATGAAAAAGTCCAAGTCACATGCGACTAAATTCATCAAGAGATACAATATAGTGTATTTGATAAAGCAGACCCTCAATACTTTGTTCACATATAAATCACATTCTGATCTTAAACCCCCAACTTATTATAAGATGGATATAATACCATAAAATAACATTATATTTTATTGAATACAATGGTACCACACTGGAACAGAATACAAATGTATTATTAAATGTACAACTGCGTGGAAGTAGATAACAAAAAGATGGGCTAAGGTTACCAGCATATATTACCAGTTTTTTAGGGAGTCTACAATCACTTTCCAGGGCTTTCCATAATTTGTCTAAATGGTCCATGAATTGCTCAAACCCTGCTTCCCGTTCTAGTTCATATAATAGGGAAGAATAACCAAGCACAGCATCATGGAAACAAGCCACACGATCCACGTCCATGTCATTCTCTCCAGCAGATATAGAAGCCAGGTCCACAAACACCTTCAGCTCATTTATATCTAATAGGAAGAGGGGAAAAGGGGGATTCAGTGCAGAATACACCATAGCATTTAAAATACACAAGCTTCTACTGTAACACAGTCAGAGTACAGTTTATTTATGCAATAGTTTCATTCTTCTTTTTTACTCTGTACCCTGCCCCATCTCACAATCCTCATATCCCCTCTACTTCTAGATCCCACAGAGTTTTTTAAAAATCCTCTGCTCTACCCTTCCCACATACTAAAATCCATATGTTTGCTTGCTAAAGAGTATGTGTGATAGAGCTGGATATGTATGTTTGGATATATTATTTTAACACTGTCTAGATCACTGCTTTTTAAACTGTGGATTCCAACTCCAAATGAGGTTCCCTTACCCCAATGTTGGGGTCACAAAAATTTGGAAAAGACAAATGTTTCCTAAATGCTGCACATTTACAAATCTGTTAGCAACAACATACAATATTTACAGTGAATTCTGCAGAAAACGCTGGAACTGTACTTCACAAAAAGGAAAATAAGACTGTTTAGCAAGCCTTGCAAATACTGAGTTATTATCATGATTTTATTTTACTTTAATACCCATTTTATAAAGCTATATATCTGGGGTCCCATAAAAATATTGGGCAGAAAGGGTCACAAGTGGAAAAAGTTTAAGAAGCTCTGGTCTACATGCTTGTCTGTGTGTGAACAAGATGAGTATATACATGCAAGAAAATAGAGGCATGAAATGTAGAAATGTGAACAAAGGAGAAAACACACAATGTCAACACCCCACTACATAACCAGATCTTCCCAACTGTACCATAAGATGGTTGCATGCTATGTTTTTTGTGCGTGTGCATTTGTTCTACCTTCTAAAGCCTCTTTGACCCAGTTGACAAAATCTTTCCGGAGTGTAATCTCCTCAAGACATCTACGGCGGGGTTCAGTGATTCCTTGCATCAACTTTTTAGCACGCATCAATGCACGACTCATGGAGGAGAGCTTTTCATTCTGAAAAGACTGAAATTCATCAGTCTGAAAAGAAAATAATATAGATGACACATTAGAAATCTGTGAATCCTGGTTTTTTTAAATTTCAATGGATTCTCCTACTTTTTTGTGGCATGAGCCTGGATGGTTATCTGTCAGGACAGCTCTGACTGTGTGTTCCTGCATGGCAGGAGGTTGGATTGAATGGCAGTGGAGGTCCCTTCCAACCCTATAATTCCATGATTCTAAGAAATGTATGGAGACTCTTCTCTTTCATCCAATCTCCTATATAATCAAAATTGGTCAGGCATACTTAGACTAAAAGAACTTGGTTTTTTAACCTTTTCTTCAGAAATAAAATTAGAAACTTGAATATCTTACATACATCCAAAAGTAGACTGAGGAAACCCTATTGCTGCTTGTTCTCTACTTTTGCTCTTTCCAATTTTATGACTTGTCTGTGGCACTTTTTGCAATTATACTGCCTGGTCAGTAAAAAAAACAAAACAGTATACTATTCTATCTTAAGATTCTTCTGGGAGTTATTTTCCATACAAATTCTCTGCCTGCTTGTTCCTAAATAGCCCACAATGTGGCTTTATAAAGATGTAGTAAATTTTCCCTTGTAGTCTCTAATATGTGCAGTAAATTTCTTTAACACAGGATAAAACAAAGATATAAAGAAGCAATCAGTCTGCAAAAGGAAAAAAAACCTTCTTCCAGGAAGCAAAATTTTAAAAAATTCACTGTACTTCTCCATTTCAACAATATTCATTTTAAGACGTTATAACTTGGAAGTAATTTTTCAAATGATTTAAATTTTCAATGTTTCTTCATTATGATACACATTATACAGCTTTTACAAAAGCCCACACATTAAAAAGCTGTGATAAGTCATCCTCCAAGATTCAGAAGCCCAGTCAACTAAGTATCAACTGGAGAGAGAAACTGCAGACAGTGTTACACTTTGACTGGAAAACTCTCTAATAGGGCTAATAATTCCAAAACTTTGGTGAGGGCAGGGATTAAATAGGCAAAGGAAAACTAATTTATCCCTTCAAATGCTAAGATGTTACTGAGAGAAGGAGCAAAATACAGGGGCCTTGAGACAGGTGGGGAAACTTTAGAGATGAGCATCAGACTGTCACTTTCTTTTCATTTGTTTATTTATTGTTCTGAGGACCAAACCTACTTATCACTGTAGCATGCTTGTTGCAGTGATAAGCAAAGAGAGGAAGAAGGTAACGTAGTCATTCCAGAAAAAAGTTCTGTTTGAAAATATCCTATCTTTTAGTGAATACTTAATATCTGGACAAACAGATGACATTAAAGAGAAGGCCCTGATTCCAATACTGTAAAATTTATACTTATCAATTTTAAAAAGCAGTACACAGAATAGCAAACAATATTGCTTCAAACAGTAAACAATACCGCATCTAACTCATATGAACTGTGACGATTATTACATTTTTCTACTACTCAAATCTGCAATGCAAAATCTGTTTTCGCAGTTTTAGAAGAGGCCATACATTAAAAAAATATTATAGTTTACTGGGAAGCTTTTGGAATTATGGTTAAAAGAGGCGTACTACTTACAATGTACAGTAACTGTTGCAGAACTCTGAAGTCACCAGAGAGGTTCAAATCTTCTCTGACTTTGTCAATAACCTTAGCTGAGTCCACTGCCAAATGTAATTCATGATATTGTTGGATCTGTTGAATCCTTTCACTTATCCATCCTCCTTGATCTTGAGACTGGAGATCACACATAACCTTAAAATCCTTTTTTAGTTCTTCATAGTGATTAATAAAATCTTTGAAGAGAGTATCCACTTCAGAAAACATGAGCTCTCCAGATTTTAGACAATCATACAGCCTACAGAACTCATCGTAGCACGGTTTAAACAAGCAGGTAGGCACTTCTTCCAGGTCCAAAGTGGCAGCCTCATCCTCCTCTTCCCCTTCAAACTCCTCCTCAACCAAATCCTCAACTTTGTTTACCAGATGCTTGGCTGCCCACTCCCAACAATACTGGAAGACGTAGCTGTCTTTGTAATGGTCCACCATTTCAGATATTTTGTTCAGGGCTGGGCTTAAATGGTAATAGGTCTCTATTTTATCACAGTTATGAGAAATTGAGTGTCTCACAATATCACTCAAAGCTTTTGATGCCAGATTTTCACTGTGCTTCTCCTCCAGGTCAGTGATATTCACTGAAAAGGGAAAAAATAACAACTTGTAATTAATTTTTCAAATAATAAAATTTTTCAGCTTCTTTTCATAATGATTGACATTATGCCACCTGGGAAGATGCGCACCGCTGCCACCAATTGGGACGATGTGCACTCCACGATGGACAGGGTATAGGGATTCTATCTTTGAAGATCCCCACCGCTATCACCAATCTTTCAGATGTGGATGTTATGGAGGGGATTCACCTCAGGCCTCAATTGTGTAGAAGAGTATATTATGGAGGAGGCCAATTATTATTAGTAAATTAAGGTAACTGCTACCTTAACTTAAGGTAACTGCTACCTTCGGTGGTATCTATTTGAGGTACCACCGATGAGATCTGGCTCTACCGACGCAGAATAGTTGAGGTGAGACTGTTTTCAAAAAAAGATAAGTTTATTGTGTACAAAGCTTATAGTTGCAGGCTGTTAAATAACTTATGGAACTTTGAATATCACGTGGCTTATAATTCAGTTCACTTTTCCAGATAACACAGCTTGTGGCTAACTTTCATTGAGGTGACGCTCTCTAGTGAACAATGTTTCACTACTATAAATAGCATTTCAATTTGATCTTCCCTCGATCAAATCTCTGATCTCTAGTCCTTCCTTAACTAGGGATCTTAACTAGGCATCCTTTAATCTTCTTTGACTGAAGAATCTGCCCAGGTTTTCTCTTCAGCCCTCCTAGACTGATAAAGCCACCCGCTCACCCACAAGTCTTTCTCTCACTCTCCAGGCCTTTTTAAAAATCACCCTTTTCCTGCTTGGCTCCGCCCTCTCATGAGCTAGCCAGCCTCGTCTCCTTGGCAACGCTCACTGTGTATTCAAACCAGATGACTCCAGTTTTAGCTACTGTTACAAACCAAATACATACTCTAACAGTTAAACACGAACATAATAGCAATGACTTTTGCACACCACCAAACACAAATGCCAGAAAAAATACAGTTTATATTTTACCCGCTTTCCCTCCTAGTCATTATGTTTTTCACATGTTATTATTTTTTGCTTCCTTCTGATTTTATTGCCTGCTGTATTTCAACTTCATACTTTAGGAACTAATTAACAATTAATTGCAAAGAAAAACATCCATGTTATTTTAAATTACCTTTTACAGAATCTTGTGTCTTCCTGCACAAATCTAGGAGGGACCCCAAGTATTTTCTCTCTCTTTTGACAGCCAGTAGTTCTTGAAACCTCAAATCAAGCATTTGCTCTAATTTGACTTTATCATCTGATTTTTCCCCAGAAGAAAGATCTCTGTTCTCTGAAATAAAAATGCATCATCACACTCATCTTTACAAAATTCTTCCCAATTTGTGTAATTTATTAAAACATCAGAGACCAATGTTTAAGTTCTATTTACTATAACAATGGGAACTACATATGTCTGATTTAATGTGCTTACTTTAGCTGACACTACAAGTGGGTGTAGCTCCAGATTCTTTAGTAGGGTTTACATCTACAATACATAACAAGCCAATGTATAGATACTTCAAAATAATCCTATTGAAAATTAAGGAACATCTAGGCAGATGTTCTAGAACTGAGCTATACAAAAAACATGAGACCATCATTAGGTTTACATTTTGCTTGGCTGCAATACCTAATCAATTTATTCTGTTATGTGTTGTTAGATTCAATTCAGTTTCTCTCTCTCTCCCTCTTTTTTTTTTTTTTTGCAAAAGTTGTCTTGATTCGTCAAGCAGATTTTTACACAGAATGTTTAAATAGAGCATTTTCAAAAACGATAACTGTAACATTATCTCATGAACAGGAGAGATGCTTCACCATTAGGTAATGTTAATCAAAACATGTCACTAACCTGCATCATCAAAAAGCAGAGTATATTTATCAACATACAAACATAAAACAATTATTAATCTATCAGCTAGCTAAAGTGCAACTAAACATATTAAAATGTCCTGCATTATGACATTTTGCCATTTATGTGTGTGTATGTGTGAACCAGTTCACTTAATTCAGAAATTGACAAAATTTGTACAAACTTACTTAATTCACAAATGGACAGAAACTGCTCCCTGTACTTTTGAACTTGTTCCAAATGTTTTACAAGGATCTCTCCTGTTTTAAGTTTCTCAGTAATATTCATATATACCGAGTCCGCAACAGCCATTAGCTCCTGAGCCTCATCAGTAAGTTTCTCCAAAATGTTGCCATCTGCACCTGTTAGATTAGAGCCATGCAGAGAATCATTAAAAATGCGCTTTAAACTATTCAAGTTATCTTCCTCCTCATTTAACCTTGAATCAACTATATACAGGTTGAATATGCCTTATCTGAAATAATCTGAAAAACTCCAAAATTATCCATATGGGTGACTTTGTTTTCTCATGGTTCAACATACACAAATAAAACAGTATTTTTATATAAGGTGTTCATCAGGCATGGGCAACCTTCAGCCCTCCAGGTGTTTTGGACTTCAACTCCCACAATTCCTAACAGTCGGTAGGCTGTTAGGAATTGTGGGAGTTGAAGTCCAAACACCTGGAGGACCGAAATTTGCCCATGCCTGGTGTACATGTAACATAAATGAATTTCATGTTTAGAATTAAGTCCCATCTCCACGATAACTCATTATGTATATGCAAGAAGTATAAATCATTTCGAAAAAGGACTGCTCAATTTATACAAGATAACCTACCACTGCCAATAGTTTGTCATATTTCATTTTGCTACCCAGTCTTAAAAATATTATCCATTATTTTTCCAAATAAAAAACAAAGATTATCTGGAGTTTGGATTACTGTAACAGACCCTATTTGGGCAACCTTGAAGAATGCTTGGAAAAACTTCAGCAAGTCCAAAGACCTCCAACCAGACTGGTGACAGGGAACAAGCAATTCCTTGTTGCAAGAGCTTCACTGGCTTGCAGTTAATCATTAATATTTATAACTGTTTTTAATTATATTGTTAGTTTATACTGGTCAAATATATCCAATGCAAAATGCTTCATATTTAAAAGTGTTTCATATTTCTGAATAAATGTATTTTTGATCGATCTAGTGAGATCTGTGAAATAGCAGGAATCCAAGCATAGTGCTTGGTGCGAATTCATGCCTCCTGTCAATTCAAGACCCACAAGACACCCACTTCCATCTTGTGAATGAATGAGTAAGAGCATGGCAGTCACCATCTCAAAAGACAGAAGCAGCAGCTGGCAGGTTCTCCAGAGATCTCTTCCTCTACAGAAGTCTGGAAACAGCTATTCATGAAATGGTGGGAGATATGCATTTGTGCTGAGCACTATGCTTGGATTTTCACCATTTCAAAGATCCTTGCATCTCTCTCTAGCCTCGCATTTTGTTGAACTGCTCCTTATTCATGTTGCATATGAGATGTCAGGATGGAAAGATAGGATATAAACAAACATCATAACAACAACAGTAATGTAGTCTTTCAACGCAGGGATCAACAAAGGAAAACACACACACCAAATTTCAGTTTTAACATAAATATCTGAAGCCACTCCTTCAGATATTCTCCCAGTCCCAGACACACTGCCGCCTCTCACCCCTCCCCTCCCCCCAAGCACACACTTAAAGCTAACAATTACCATTGAAGGTGAAAATATGTTTGATGTCTGGCCAGACAAGAAGGTGATTCAGCACATCTTCCATATCTCTCAGAGTGTTGCCCAACTCATCAGTTGGCCATGATTTTGTGATCACAACAGATACCAGTTTGCCAAGCTTCTTTAGATCATAAATGGATATTAAGTCCAGAAGATTATTGTGTTCCTATACAAGATACAGAAGCATGCCCATTATTATAGGATAATACACAAACCTATTGGCATTTTGCTACATTGCTTAAATTCTGAAGAGATTACTGTGAAGTTCTTGTACAACTCAATTCCATCTACTTGCTGATACAGAACTGCTCACTGTGAAGGCTGGAATATTTCCTTTCCCACATTGTAAATGGTTTAGCAAACATCTCAGATATGGAAATAACGACATCTGATAATGATTTAGACATTATCAGAACATTATCAGTACCTGAACAGGATACATTTACAAATAATAACTGCTAATATATAAATTGTTTACCTGATTCAGAACAACTTAAGGCGTCAATGGCAGGTGGAGAGCAGGAAGTACACCAAAGTAGACATCAGCTCTTTATCTTTACCACAGCAATGACATCATCCTGAAAAACCTCTACTACTCCTCCACCCTTAAATGTTCAGCAAATGGCATGGGGAAGGGGACTGAAGCAGATAAATAGTAAACTCGAGGATGCTGCTCACTACGAATTCCAATCTCTCCAATGATCAAAACAATGACAATATAATGGTTTAAGCATCTTAAGTCCATATCATCAGGGTACCAGTGCATGTCTTAAAACCATTAATATACACATTACCTGACATGCTGATTTAATAGCCTCTACTGCACAATCCTCAAAAGCTTTGCTAATCAGTGGATCAAGCTCTTTGAAGTTTTCATGGCAAGAGCAATAGACTTTAATGCGCTGGATAGATGTCTCCTATTGGGGAAGAGTTTAAAAAAAAAAAGCCTGATCACTTGATTAATCAGAACAGGAAAAACAAGTTAAGTAATGAAGAAAATTAGTGCAATAAAAGTAAACTAATTATTCTACCTTAGTATTCTAAGTGGGTATGAATTATTTTTATTATTATGAGATACCTGTTTGATTCTGCCTTCCATCTCTGCAATTAGTGTTTTCTTCCATTCCTCTGTGAAATTTCTATCAGAAAAGCTTATTTGCAGAAAATGATTCCATGCCTAGGAAATAAAATATTATTTTGAAGTCAAAATTAACTTAAATGTAAGAAAAGAGGGGGAGAAAGGCACAAGTAGCTTGGGACAATTGTTCATTAACATGCTACAATTTCAACATCTTCAGCTTCTGTATGCATCACTATCATTTATAAGGAGTCAAAACATGCCCCTTAAGGTATAAAAAAGCACATCAAGCATGATAGAGAGAAGAGGAATCTGGAAAACCTATGTTGAGCAGATCAGGTAATATTCCTTTGCCCAGACAGAAACACCCATTTGAATTCTTGAAAGATGCCCCTGAAGCTGTAATTCATCCTACCTTGACAAAAAAATACATCACTTTGAACTAAAATAACAAAAGAGTTTCTCGCCTCCTTATCTGTTTGTATTTTCCCCCTTTTCTGATCCACTGAAGTGAACATTTTGTGACTAAATATCACTGGACTGCAATTTATATTAACCTTAGCTAGCACAGCCACCTATAAGTAATGACAGAAGATGGCAGTCCAACGTGTAGAATGTCACATGTTTACTACTTCTTCTCTGCACTTTATCATGTGATGCTAAGAAAATGGAATGGAGCTGCAGATATATGTTCTGTTCATTCAGTGTTTCTTTGCCATTTCCCCCAATCTAGCAAAGAACAAAGCAGCACTGTTTTGGATGGGTTAAAAATTTCTGTGAATTAGGATATGAAGTTAATCTCTCTCTCTCCTAGACCTGATTACTATTGGCTGGAGGGCATTAACTGAATGAATCAACTTTTACATAATCAAAAAGAGAAACAATGTGTAGGATTGAAGTACATAGAGTGTAGCACAGGGAAAAATACTATTGTTCGGAGATACAAAGAAAATAAGAATGGGAACTGAAACAAAAAAGGGAAGGGGAACACTTTCACCTGACCGAGTTTTGAACAGAATTCCAAAATACAAACCTCAAGTTCCCATGAATAAGAAAATATACAAGTATAAGAATAATTATCCAGCAAACGTTTTGACAGAACTCTCCGAAAGTAATTTCTGGTTTCTTTACAAAGTCTTTGAAATGTTTCTTTCATAAACATATTCTGCGTGTTCGCTTCTCTCTGCGTGTTTGTTTCAACCTATCATGCATAAGGAAGAGAATTACACATAGTGAACAGGTGAGCATTTCACCACTAAGTTTAACATCTACATTAATATTTACATTTATAAAATGTCATTTTAAAATAGAAGATGTTTCTCTTCATAAATGACATAATGCAAAAGCCAAAATCAATGGTGGGGGCAGAGGAAAGAATGCATTAGATGAGCAAGCTTGTCCAACCTGTGCCCAAGGATGCCTATGAATGTGGTCTAACGCAAAATCATAAACTTACTTAAAATATATTTTTTGTAACTTGACTGAGCAACAAGACAACAATGGAATGGAATGTAATAGAACAGGGGTCCACAAACTTTTTAAACAGAGGGCCAGGTCACCACCCCTCAAACTGTTGGAGGGCCGGATTAAAATTTGAAAAAAAAAAAAGAATGAATTCCTATGCACTCTGCACATATCTTATTTGTAGTGTAAAAAACACTTTAAAACAATACAATAATTAAAATAAGGAACAATGTTAACAAATATAAACTTTTTAGTATTTCAATGGGAAATGTGGGCCTGCTTTTGCCCGGTGAGATAGGATTGTTGTTGTTGTTATGTGCTTTCAAGTTGTTTCAGACTTAGGTTGACCCTGAGCGAGGGCCGGGTAAATGCCCTTGGAGGGTTGTATCCGGCCCCCGGGCCTTAATTTGAGGACCCCTGTAATAGAACATGTTATATCTACCAATATTGGAGTATTATCCATAATTTGCATTATAATTGCAAACACACAATCTCCTTGACAATTTTAAAAGCACCTCCAAATGAGGTGGCACGTCATTAGGATGATTATGCTTATCTGTGGGATTCAAAGATATCATGAAAATTATGCATGGACCTTTTTTTTGCTAATTAGTTAAAATTAGTGTACTTTATGTGTGGCCCAATACAATTAGCTTACCTGTCTAAATACAAATAGGCACATACACAAAGTTAAGACATTAGACACTGTTAACATGGACTTTAAAATATCTAATGAGTGATAAATTAACACATATATTAAAAGTGTATACATATTTCCAATTGACTCACAATTGCAACATTATTTCCACTAGCTAATTTCATGCATTTTCTTCCAATAACTCTCTTCATCAACTTCAACCTTCTTTGTTTTTATTAACCTATTTTATATTATATGTACAAATAAACTTAAAATCAATATTTGAAACTATAATCAAATACATGGGGTTAATTGAAGTGGGATAAAGCCAGATTCAAGTCTCTCACTACAGAGGTAAAGGAAGATAACAATAATTGGATAGAAATCCAAAAATATATGACAGCTGCAATACAGTCTATGATAGTCTGAAGATAGAGAGACAATACAAGATGTGATTTAGAAACTTGGTGGGCTTATCTATCGGAATATATAATAAATGATTTCATTAATCAAAGTATATAAATAGTCATACAAAACAAGACTGGTACAGGAAATGGGCTATTCCAGGCATCTTCAAACTGCAGCCCTCCAGCTGTTTGGGCCTCCAACTCCCAGAAGCCCTAATGAGCTTGTTCAATTATCAGGAATTCTGGGAGTTGAAGACCTGAACAGCTGGAGGGCTGCAGTTTGAGAATGCCCAGTCTATTCTAATCAACAAAATAGATGGAGATAGATATAGCATTTTGAAACCAGGCTTTCCACATGGTTAAATTGATGCAATGACATCATTTAGAATTGCTGTTCCAGGAGGGAGGGGGGAATGGGGGGGAAGGTATGAGTAATGGGTGATACACATCTAAGGAATGTAAAAAGTGTCATATAAGGTAAATTTACTTTTGGAATAATGTATACTGAGATAAGACTTCTAGGGCAAAAGTTTGTTAATTGATGGGATGTATCAACTAAATAAAAAACACCTTTAATTGAATTTCATGTCAATTATACAACACATAGAAAAAGTCCTATAGATCCTTAAAACTTATACAAATTGATTATAGCATTATCCCTACAACTGATGAAGTGGATTCAGTTCATAAAAAATAATTTTATAATAAATGTGTTAGTTGTCCAGGTGCCATTGGGCTCTTTGTTCATTTTATTATGAAAGACGAATATTCTCATCACTCTTTATCATGACTGAACAACAGGGATGCAACTACCATAGTGGCAATCAATTACATGTAAGTACTATTCATGATGGGGATTTCTCAAGGTGATTAGCTCTAAACAAATCAAACTTTAGATGAGGCTGCTCAGGTCCAGGCAATTGTGTTCGGAAACTTTAGCTGGTCCAAAGAGCTGCAGCCAGATTTCTAACTGGAACTGGTTACAAGATACTTTTGTGGCATATTTTATGTATATATTAGTGAAAGTAACTATTTAACAACCATTGCAAAAACCTTCATGTCCTATTGTATGTACTGAATTTTTTTTGTAGAGACCTAGTAAAATCCTGCTGTTGAAACAGCACAATCCTGCTGTTGCAACAGCTCTACTGGCTGTCTGTGTTTCTTGGCACAATTTAAAGTGTTGCTTATGACTTTTAAAGTCCTATATGGCTCAGGTCCAGGCAATTAGGCAGATTGTATCTCCTGATAAAAACCTGCCCAAGCCCCAGGATCACCAGGAGAGCCTCTTCTCTTTGTCACACCACCAGTTGATGGGAACACGAGAGAGGGCCTCCTCGGTGACTGCCCTTTGACTTAAACTCCTTGCCCAGAGAAAATAGGATGCCTTCTTGCTCCCCTCTCATTCCAGCAGCCAGTTAAAACTTTTCTTTTCTGGAAGGCTTTTAAGACAGAAAGTTTTTAAGCCTATTAAAAACTAATTCAACCATTTTAACTATGTATTTTTAACATTTCCATGCTTAATTATAATGTACCGTCTATATGTGTGAGGTTTTAATTCAGATATTGATGTGGTTGTTAGCCATTTTCAGTGTCCTTTGGCAAAGCAAAAGCGTTGCATAAATACATATTGATTATTTTTATAATATTTTATTGAATATTCCCAGAGGGAAAAGTGGGTAAAAAGAAAAACAGGGAAAGTAAGAGTACTGGAGCTATTGTTAGTAGGTTAACTATTTAAAAAAAATAGTATTTCACCGGGGATGAGGGAGGGGGTTGAACTGACAGAGGGAAATATATTGTACAAAATTATAGTTGTTATATCTAATTCTTCATCTCTGTTACCCCTATGCACATTTCTTAAAGTATTAACAATGTTACAAATTCCATATATCCTCTATAACACAAAGAGGAATAGCATTATGTTTCAAAACCTAATAGTCATGTCTTCTTTTCTGCATTATTCCATTTTTATTCCTGTCTTCTCCTCCAGCTCTTCTTCATTAAAAGTTTGTCTTGATTGTTCTTATTTTGATTATTTCTTTTAACTCTTTTATCAAATATAATTACAGTCAATATAATCTGAAGGTTTCATTTAATCAGTTAGTAAATTAGTTTATGCAGACAAAAAATTTATATGGATCACAATCATTCCGCTCCCCCCGCCCCACAATCCAAATTTAATTAGGAGGTAACAAGTCCTCTATTATCCAGAGAATCTTAAGTGTGGGGTTAATAAGTATTACAAAGAATATATGTAGGTTGATAATATTATTTTTAGTGAACAATTCTGAAATCTCAGTTTTCCTGATTTTTTGTGTTAATTAGTTATTATACACATACATATTTACTATTATTTTTGCTCCTCCTGGCCACTTTAATTAGCCCTACATAAATTTAAGAAAAGGTTTGTGTGACTGCTAATCAATGAAAATATGTTAGTATCATGAAGAGAGATTCTCACCTCAACAGATTCAAATCCAAGAAGGTTTGAAACAATTTTAGCTGACATAGCTGGTATCTTGTAGTCAATTTCAATCCTGACTTTGTCACATATCATCTGATGAAGGTCTAAACAGATATTTATAGAAAATCCCCAGGCATTCTGCTGCAATGGGCTGTAACATCAAACAATTTCATTACACTTGCTTTACAAACACCTAGATTCAGCTTAAAAAATGAACATAAAAATATGCCCAGAGAGCACAGCAGCACTTCTAACAAAGACATCAATATGAAAAATTCAAATAAGAATGCACGTTCTTCACCTTGTTCTTTTTCAAGTTCTATAGGAACCTAAATATAATTCATTCATCTGGGTTTTTTTTCCAATAAGTAACCAAGGAACATCAAATTGAAATGATTGGGGAAGAATTGTTACAAGCAGGCATGTAGCCGGGGGGGGGGGGGGGCCTTGGGGGGCTTCACCCCCCCCCCCGAAAATTCTCATGGTGGTTCGCGAAAAGGCCTTACTGGTGCATTATTTAAACTGTTATGTTTATTCATATCATGATCTGATCACCATACTCAATATATCCCATATGCATGGGGGTATTGGGGTAACAATACAAAAGGTTTGCTAGGGTAGACCCTCTTTCACTCAGACTCAGCCCCCCCCTCCCCCCGAATCGAAATCCTGGCTACGGGCCTGCTTACAAGTGTTGAATTAAAGTGGTAAGCTAATCTGCTATCTATTTGGCTGAAGGCTGGCATATAAATAATATCAATAAATAAATATAAAATGGGAAATGATATTTAATTAAAAAAACACAAAGGATACACTATCTAGAAAGAAAAAAGAGCAGATCCTTAATAACAAAAATTGTTAAGGAGCTAGAAAATATAGAATTCTGTCAAGCTAACATAACAAATTAGAATTTAAGAACACAAGGAACAAGTTGTACTACTCTGACAAGATAACATTCAATTTTATGTATTTTGGACTAATTATATTTGCATAAATTATATTTTTAAGACAGAAAATGTTAATTACTTTGGTAGTAACACTGCAAAATGTAACATTAACAAAGTTAATGTGGAATCAATTATATAACTTGAAAGTTTTTGAACTGTATAATAGAGCAAGCACTTCCCCCATCCCATAGGCATCTATGTAAAATGAGTGAGAAAAGTGAAGCCCCTTAGCTGCATGCAGCCCGCAACTCCTTTTTGAGGCTCTTGTGTTCTTTTGAGCCTCCTAACCATATGGATCTTTCCTCCAAAAAAAGTATGTTATTTATTGAACCAAAAGTTCTCAGAATGCATCTGAACACTTCCAGAATTGCCTTCAAACTGTTATCTTATTTTTTTTTCAATTGCAAACAATTCAAAGTGCTGCCTTTAGCCTATAAAACCAAACGGTTCTGGCCCAGTATATAATATGAACCATCAAGGACTAATGGGGCCGAGAGACAGGGCCTTCTCAGTGGTGGCTCCTCAGCTGTGGAACTCCCTCCACAAAGAAATCAGGTCTGCCCCCTCCCTCCTAGCTTTTTGTAAAAAAACCTTAAAATTTGGTTGTGGGATCAAGAATTTGAGGAGTAGATGCAGCAACTAGAATGGGAGTGATTTTATGTGACCGGCAATGGAACTGACCTTGGATTATGATTCTGAACTGGTGGAACTTTTAAATGAATGTTTATAACTGTTTTTAAATCTGTTTATTTTAATTTAGATGTTCAGCATCTAATGGTTGCCTGTTGTAAAGCTGCCCTGAGTCCCCCTCCGGTGAGAAAGATGGGGTACAAATCCTCTAAATAGATAAACAACTGGCTAAAAATAGACCCCAAAACAGGTAGTACAAACAGAAGTGTCTTCTGGTCACTTCCAATTAAATATGTTGAATGAAGTGATACGTTTCTGTTTCTTACCTATTTTGTTTTGTACCAACAATGTGGAGAACTGTCTCAAGTAGTTTTTCTACCTCCTAGGAAAGAGTAAAAGTTAAATCAGAGACTTAGAATTATCTTCACTATTGTGTAGCAAAACACACATTTGCAACAAACATTTATTAAACAAATTTACCAAATCTAATTTTACTGATTTTCTTGTTGCTTGTTTGGGACTACTTTTGCTATGTCATGTGCTAATTCTACTCCAGAAATATGAAAAGGGGATGTCAATATGACTGCAGGAAACTAGCAAGGCTCTTGTAAAGTAGAAAGCCTGAATTGGGGACTATAAATAGTTGCTTCACTAAGTGTTTATGATTCAGTTCTTCTATTTATTTATTTATTTATTTATTTAATTTTTCATTAAACAGTGAAAGAGGGGGAACAATCATCCAGATAGAAAGGTTAGAAGGGATAGATGCAAGTAGAATAAGCAAAAAGGGTAGTAAGAGGGGTGGGTGGGCAGGGAGTGGGGGAGAGAAAAAGAAGGAGGAGGAAAGAAAAAGGGGTGGGGGTGGGGGTTGGTAGTGGGTCGGGGAAGGGGAGATCTTCCGTTCAGTCCGCAGAGAGATAGTCATCAGATTATATATAATTCTTCTTGTACTTGCTGTGTCCATAGTTAATAGTTAATCCTTTTTCATAGCACCTTAAATATCCAATTTAAGTCTTTCTCTTAAATAGTCTCCTAGAGGTTTCCAATTTATTTGTTTTTCTTTACTCTGTTCTTCTAGAATGCACGAAAGCTTATCTAAGTCTCTAAATTCCATTATTTTTTTAAGCCATTCTTCGTTGGTTGGAGTTTCCTTGCCCAGTATATATGGCTCTTATGGCATTTAATATGGAGTGACCAATATCCATTTCTTTAAGGGTAGATGTTAAAAAGTCCCAGTTTGTTTGGTCGAATGCCTTCTCGGCATCGACAAAAAGTAGTCCTAGTTCTCTCTGTGGGTTTTTCTCATAAAGTTCCACAATATCTAGAATTATCCTAACGTTGTCCCTCATTTGTCTACCTGGCAGAAACCCTCTTTGGTCTTCTTTAATCCTCTCTTTTAGGAATCTTTTAAGCCTTTCTGCCAGTACGCTTGTGAAGATTTTATAATCACAGTTCAGGAGGGAAATAGGTAGGTAATTCTTTAGTTCTGTGGGTTCTGTGCCTTCCTTATGTATCAGAGTGATGTATGCTTCTTGCCAAGTCTTTGGCATCTCAGCACTCCTCAATATGTTGTTCATTGTTCCTTTCAGGTGGGTAGTTATTTCTTCCTTAAAGGTTTTATAATATTGAGCAGTGAGACCATCTGGGCCTGGGGCTTTATTAATTGCTAATCTGTTTATAGATCTTTTGATTTCTTCTTCTTCTATTGGTGCGTTTAGGTATTCTCTTTCTGCATCGGAAATTCTTGGGAGATTTTTTGGTTTGAGATAAATCTCATTATATTTTCTTTTGCTATTGTGTCTTTCTTATATAGCTTTTGATAATATTCTCTAAATTGCATGGCAATGTCCCTTTCTTTTGTGTAATTTTTTCCTTCTTCTATTATTTGGGTTATATATATATTTTTTGCCTTCTCTTTGTTAACCTCCTTGCCAGGAATTTCCCTGGTTTATTGGCTTTAACAAAATATTGCGCCTTTAGATATTTTAGGTTTTTAGCCATTTGATTTATTTGTGCAGCATTTACTTCTTTTCTTATTATCTCTGTTTCTAATTGGAGTTTTTTTTAGTAAATCTTCTTTTACTTTTAACTTTTCTTCCAGTTTCTTTTGCTCCTCTCTTTTCTTATTTTTTAAGGCTCCCTGTTGTATGAAATAGCCTCGCATGACTGCCTTGCTAGCTTCCCAGACCTTTCCTAGTTTTGTTCCTTTATCCAAATTATTTTCAAAGTATTCTTGCAATAATTTTTATTATGCTTAATAACCTCATCTAGGCGTATTAGCGAATCATTTAGTTTCCATCTCCTGTCACGTTGATTAATTTGCATTTCTATCTTTAACGGACAATGGTCCATATGAATTCTTGGTAGTATTTTAGCATTTTTAGTTTTTACTGCCAGGGAGTTGGATGTCCAGCACATGTCTATACGAGACCATGTCTCATGCCTGTTTGAGTAAAAAGTGTAATCTCTGGTTTCGGGGTTCTTAATTCGCCAGATGTCTTGTAAATGAAATTCTTGTAATAATTGTAAAAAGTTAATTGATAGCCTTCCCCCTTTGGGGTCTCCTCCTCTGATTTTCCTTTTCCTTGATTTGTCCTTCTCACAATCCAATACGCCATTGAAGTCTCCTATAATTATTAAGTTATCATATATATGTTCTCTTATTTTCTTTTTTAGGAGCTTTACTAAGGTGGATTTGGCTCCGTTCGGAGCGTAAATATTGCACATTAGAATATCCAGACCGTTAACTTTAAATTTAACCCCTATTATTCGGCCGTCGTCATCTTTAAAGGCTAACTCTGGATTGAGATTTTCCTTTATATATATCGCAACTCCTTTTTTTCTTTTTAGGGGAAAAGGAATAATATAATTTCCCTAGTTGTTTATTTTCTAAATGTGCAGAATGTTTTTGCATTATGTGTGTCTCCTGTATTGCTATTATATCACACCTGAGACTTTTTAATTGGTTGCTTATTAAGTTTCTTTTATTAGGACTATTTAGTCCGTTTACATTGTTAGATACAATCCTTAGTGTCATCATCGGGTTTCAAGTCGATTAAGTCCTTTGTCATCTTATTCCTCTGGGTTTGTTTGCTATAGTCTTCTGGAGAAATCTCCCTCGGTCGCTTCTCTCCTTTATTTTTCTTGGTTGGATCCGGTGTTTTGGTTAGTTCCATTTCCTCTTCCTCCCGTTCATAGCTGTCCTTGGCTATTGGGTTTTTTCCAGATTGTTTTCTTCCTTGGTCTTGCTCTTTCCCTTTTATTTTTTGGTAGAAGGTTTTTGCTTTTTCCGTCGAGGTAATCCAATATTTTTCCTCTTTGTACGTTACCATTATTCCTTCGTTTCTTTCCCATCGGAATTTTATTTGTTGTTTCTTTAGTTCGACCGTCAAAAATAGTATTGTTTTCTTTTGCTCATTATAAAGGCTGGAACTTCTTTTAGTATGGCCACCTTCTTCCCTCTGAAGATTGTGGGCTCTTTGGCATTATTCTTCAAAATTTGGTCTCTCAGGTGTTTTCTTGTTAGATGGACAACAACATCTCTTGCTGTGCCATTCTTTTTAGCGTAAGTTGTCTGTACTCTGTACAGTCGGTCAATATTTTTGTCCATCTCTTCACATGATACATCTAATATTTTGGCTGTCATTTCTGTTATTATATTTCTTAGATTGTCCTGTTCTTTTTCCTCTATATTCCTGATTCTTAGTTGGTATTCAGTCTCTTTTATCTCCGTTGTTTTCTGTATTTTCTTTATTTTTTCTGTAAGTTCTTCTAGTTTATCCACTCTTTTGCTTGTTTTATCTATGGATTTCTTCTGTATCGCATTTTCTTTTTTGATTTCACCAATCTCTTTTTGCATTGTATTCATTTCTGCCTTCACCGTGGAGATTTCTTCTTTAATTTCCTCACCCATCTTTCCTATTTCATCTTTTATCATTTTTTCTAATTCGGTTTGTAGTTTCTCCTGAGATTTTTGCATTTTCTCTTGCGATTCCTGCAACTTCTCTTGCGTCTCCTGGATTTTTATTAGTTCGGCCATTAGGTCTTTGGCTGTGGTCTCTCCTTGTAAAGAATGTCTCCTTGCTGCTACAGACACCTTGCCCGTTTTGGCTGGAGTAATTTTTTCTATATTTTTTGTTTCCATTTTTTCTGCTGTGGTTTGCTTTTGCCTGTTGACTTAACGATGAGGGATTTTATTCTTTATGTGTTTTTTTCTCTCTTTGTTATCTTCCAATATTTAATTTGATTTAATTTGATTTGCAGCGTATAGAATGTACTGTCTGGCAGATTTTCTTATTTCTCTAGTTTTATTTCCTTCACCTGATCCTTTTGTTTCCCTGTTATTGTGATTAGTTTTCTTTAACTTGCTATGAAGTGAACTGTATTCCTAATTTAAATATGTCCATTACATTTGCACTATTTCATTAATAGTTGATCAGAGTCTATTCCCTTGTTGCCGTTGCTTATATCCAGATTTCTGAATTTGATGGTAGGTTTGATCTTCTACTACAATAGTTTTAACATCTGATTTTACATTACATACATGTAGCAATTCATTATTAACCTGTGGTCAGTTAATTCTTAATTTAAACAATAATTAATCAGTAATTAATACAATCTGTAAAAGAACATTTAAATATTACTATATTTTTAATTTATTTCATGTATATACGTATATTATTATTATTATTATTTGATTATTTCTATTTCATAGATGCTAATACTCCACTAATGCAAGGTATTTTTACATACAAAAATATATTTACACTTATAGCTACCAGCAACTATATATAAAACTCCAAGATTATAGTATAATATAATTCAATGTAATAATTATTCCTATTACTAATTACTTAGTTACTTAGTTACTTAGTATTTGTAAATGAGCTGTACTTTATTCCCGGTTGTGTTTTACCTTTATTATCTTAGATTTCTTCTGTGTTTTCTTTGAGTTTGGTTCCTCCGTTCCTTTGTTGGCAATCTCGGCTTAGTTCTTTACTTGGCGGTAGTTTCTGTGTCTTTTATATTTTCATTTCCTAATTTTTCGGCGTCATCTGTTGCTTTACGATGTTTTACGGCGTCACTTTTCGGTGGTTCCTTTCCTTTCGGTTTCTCTTGCTTTTCGGCGCTTCTACTTTGCAGCTTTACGGCTTTACAGCTTCTTGCTTTTCGACCACCAGCCTTCTTTCTTCTTACTTGTGCCTCGGCTCTCTCCTGAGAACCTCGGCTCTGTCGTCCTCGGTTCACCCTGACTCCTCTGGCTCGTCTCGGCTTTGCTCGATCACCTCCGCCGCCTCCTCGCTACCTCTCCGTCTCTCTCCTCCACTACTCCGCCACTCCGCTACTCCGCCGCTTTGCCGCTCTGCTGCTCTGTCACCTTACCACTCGCCGCTACTCCGCCGCCTCTTTTCTCTGTCGGGCCGGCAAATGGTGCCTGTCCGGTCCTCACTGTTTCCCCACTCCTCCGTTGGATCGGCAAGTGGCGTTTCTCCCCCTGACGCTTCTCTCCGCCTCCTTTATTTGGTAAGTTAAGTCTGCATTACTTCCACAGCTCTGGTACCTATCAAGTATTGTTCTCTTGGTTTCCTCTTGGTTTTTTCCCCTTTGGTTGCTATGTCTTGGTTTTATATCTTTCTTTCCTTCTTTTCTCTCTGCTTACTTTATCTTTCTCAGTTCTCTTTGTTGTTTAAATCTTGTAATTTGTAGAGTACAATGAAGGCGGTAGGCTTGCTTACCGCGCCTTTGGCCGGCGTCCTCCTCTCGGGTTCTTGTCTCTGTTGGGGCTTCTTGGGCGGGTTGGAGGGGCTCCCAAAGGACCCCCACCCCCCCCCCACCCTGAGTGCCCTTGGCGAGATTGTGTCCAACTCGACCCTTTCCGTCGATATTGGGGAGAAATTAGTGGTCTTCGAACCCTCCGAGAGTGGATTCTGACCTCTGAAGTTCCCGGAGCTTCAGAGAGCCGCTGCTGCCACCATCTTGCCTTCACCAGAAGTCCATGATTCAGTCCTTCTAATCCAACCCCAGCACCTGAACTACTTTAAAATCTCTACATTTTTATTAGTGCTAAATTAATTATCCAAAGTTTAAATGGAAAGATTTTGTCACAATAAAGATATTTTGTACCTTCACAGTATTGAGTATCTTATGTACATTTTTGAAAGTTTTTAAAATTATATACACAGAGAGAGAAACATACGTACAATCTTCAAAATTCAACAGTCAAAATACAAGAATTTATCACCAATCCCACCACCTCCCCATTTCCTCCTGTAAACCTCTAATATTGACTTCTCATTACATAAGACAAAGGTACAAAAATATTGAATATTTATACCTTAGTATATTCGAGCATTTAATCATTTTCCCCTGGTTACCATCTTATACACAACCATCTGTCTAAGGTTCTCATCATCCTGTATCTCATTTTACATCATTCCCCTACCTTCTCCTCCCCCCCACCTCAGAAACAGTTTACTACCCTTGTTATACTTACTATAATTGTTTAATCAAGAGGATAGTCTTATTTAATTCCATATCTACCTTTCATCTTTATTTTGGAAATGAGACCCTTCCATTTTGCTTCCCAGGTCCTTCTGGTTTGGCCCGTCCTATAATAACTTTTCATTTCACTAATATAATCTTAGAGTAGGTAATAGGTTAGATATTTATACCAAGTTTTTATATCCCATTTTTGTGGTCCTTCCAACCTAGGGCAACTGAGGCTTTAATTGCATCCATCATGTGTTTCATTATTTTCTCTCGTTCTTTAAATCCTCCATTGCCGTCTATTTTCTGAGTGAAAATTTGAGTCTTGGAATTTATCCCTAATAGCTCCTCCATTTCCTTCTTAATTATTCTATGGAAGTTTTGTATTTTTTCACAGTCCAACCAAATGTGGGTATATGTTCCGGTTTTTCCACAGTTATGCCAATGTTTTGGGCAAGATCTTGTAATATACACCAATTGCATGGGAGTTCTATACAATTTTGTAAGCATTTTCTATTGCATTTCCTTTATCTTTAGATGTTTTATTTTATTGCTTGATTTTATCCAATTGTCTATTTCTCTCACTGCAACTTAATTCCTCCTTGCAACTATGCCAGTTGTAACTATGCCAGTTAAATCAATTCCTCCTTGCAACTATGCCAGTTGTAACTATATCAGTTAAATCAATTTCAGTTCCAGGTTGCAACATAAAAATGTAGTCTCCCCAAAATACTAAATTAGAACACAGGTAGGCAGTATGAGGTTTCCTTTTCTGCAGTACTGAAGTGTGATCCTTACATTGGGTCTTCCTCCTCCAATTCACTTTTAAGTAAGTGCTTCTTCCAAAGGTCAATCGTTTTGTCCATCCCAAGTATTAGATCTTCCCCACAATGATGGACCAAGAAACTCTGAACAGACACCAACTTTCCCTCAATAGTTCCAGACAAGAAAAATCCACAGCCATGGTGGGAAGAATTCCCTCCCCACTAATGAAGAAAAGGAACCTTCATAGTAAACACTTTTCCTGCAGTGTGTGGAAGCAATTCTTATGCTGGAACCCACTACAGTAGTATTGCTATCCACCAACTGGTGGACAACCAAATATAGCTATAAAGAATATACTCGCTTAATGAAGCAAATTTATCAGAAGCCTGACAAAAAGACAATATAACAACCAAAGACAATACTTTTAATGCAAAGAATTTCTAGTACACAGATCTCCAAGGCTCAAAAGCCCACGATACCACATTTAGATTCCATGAAGAAAAACAATACATTATTCCTGCTGATGCAAAAAAATCCTTCAAAAGATTCTCCATGTGATAGAATATAAGTAGCTTGAGGAAATTCCTTTTCAAGATAGAACCAAAAGCCCATAACTGTCCCCTATAGGGGTTGGTACTGAGACCCTAAGGATCCACCTGCAGACCAATCTCACTGCCTCCACCATCTACAGAACGCTGTCCAAGTGGATTAACGTAAGGGATTAGTCGAGGGTCTTCCAATTTAAAGAATGGTATGAATAACATTCTTATCGTACCCTTCAGATACTAACCTTTCCCATTCAGCCTCCAGTCATGTAATTGTAGCTAACCTGGTTCAGAATGTAGAGGACCTCTTTGATAGAGATGGCCCAACCAAATTGGCAGAGGCCAATTCTCCTGAACCTGCATACTGATTACACAGCCCAACAGTTTTTTCCTTGGTATCTTGGTTTCAAAAAATTGCATTAGATAGACCACATCAGCTCTAGTAGTCATCATTTTTATGGATGAGCAGATAAAGACTGGTAATATGGCATATGCTCTGTACCTCAAAAACTAGAAAACTGGTGCCATTTTTGGAATCAGGGCTCATGCTGAGAGTGTGTGGCTGCTTAGCTTCCGCAAACAGCCAAATCTGGTGTACTTTTTGGTTAACACTGCGATTCAAGATCAAAAATTTGAAGGCCCAGCATAAGTTCTATCATGAGGCAGACAATTACAGCTCTGAAGTCCATGGCCAGGACTTCACCAGTCAAAGAAGCCATCAATGTATTAAAATATATTTTAAAGGGAGAGGTGATAAGCAAAATCATTGTAGGACTGCCTGTGAAGTGAGACTCAAGATCAAAACACAGTGATTTGCTCAAGTCAACAATTTAAGAATTTAAAAGGGAATTGTCTGTAGAGAGTGTGACTCTAGGCGAAGACTGTGTGACTCAATCAAGACAACAATTTATTATGTATCCAAGTTTTGCCCAGGTATGCATTTTCTACAGCTATTTATTACAACTAGTTTATCCACAGTGTTACATGGATATACATTTTTAATGGGACTATTCATAAAATCGTAAAAGCTATCAATGAGTATTCCTACTGAATAATGATAGAAAATGCATACTCGGGCAATACTAATATAAGTTAGACTTTTCTCATTTTTACTGAAGATAATAATTTCATATGAATTAAGAAGGAAAGTAAAACAAACCTCATGATTACTGTATGTTGTCATCATATCTTTTAGTCTAAGAACAATTCCTGTAAGACAGTCCAGGATAGAGGAAGAAAATTCAGAAATATATTCCACCAAGTCTCTCAGAGGCAACAAAGAGAACCATGATCTGAACAGCGCTTTGTCTCCTTTCACCAAATATTTCTTTGTTTTCATTAGCTGTAATAAAATTCTGCAAATTAAAGACAGAAAATAATTTCAATATACAGACAGAAATACAATTAGAAATCTGAGCAAAGGAATAATACACAGAATACAATTTTGGCATAAACAGGAAAAACATGATAGAAACCAGAATCTGATTCTAAGCTTTGCAATTATTTCTGAAATCACTGTGATGTTATAAACCAAAGAGCATGAACATTCACTTTCAATCACACGGGGAAACACTTTTTGTACAATAATTTCTGTCAGAGTGACTTCTTTCTTAACTTGTTCAATGCTTAAACCTTATAATCAAACTACAGTACTACCACTACATGTGCATCTTTTTCTGTTATGGAGATGGTAACTAAACAAAGTGCTGTATTCTATCTCTGGAAGCTGAATAAATATGATCTTCTAAATATCAGCAACTCAAATATGGGGCTACTACATTCATGAGCTTTCCATGCAAAGATGTATAATAACCATAGACCAAGGTGTCAAACTCATTTTTATCGAGGGCCACATTAGCCTTATGGTTGTCTTTAAAGGACAACTGAATTCATGGATGGAGAATCTGTTGGTACATAGTGGTTGGCACTCTTTAATTTTTATCCAGTTTGAGTCTGTAGATGTTTTTGAATTATAACTCCCACCATTTTTTTATTATCTGCCATACGAACTTGGGATAATGGGAATTGCAACCTAAAAGTGCTTGTGGCTCTGAGGGGAGGAAAATACTATTTTAAAGTGAAACATCATATTGGCAAGACTTATATCTAAAGCCTACTATTCCAACTAAACAGAAGAAACTGCAACCTTCCAGATGTTACTGTAGCACAACTCCCATTAATTCTAATCATGATGTCCAATAATGAGAGATGCAGGAGCTGTAGTCCAGCATTTGGAGGGCCACATGAAATGACATAGCAGGTTGAATTCAGCACGTGAGCCTTGACACTAGATTATTCAGCATCTACTGAAATGAATTGATCTGCTACTCCCTTGCACTTGGCTTCAGAAATTGTATTACACTAAAATTGTATTACACCTGTTCTTGGGATTATTCTAGGTCTGTTCCTAGAGTTATTTTGGGTGCTGGTTCAGAAAACTGCATTGTATAGACTGTGTTACTTTCTATGCATATGATATTGTTCTAATATTATTTAAGGTACTGTTTCTTAAACTTTGATTGTATTCCTGTATGCATGTTTTTCAATATTGCTATGGTCACGCAATAAAATAGTTTTTTGCAGTTTGAAGATTCAACTTTCATGGTGTCCTTCCTCACCCCTCCTCACTGGAAAGGGGCCTCCTGCTTTTTGGATTTGGATTTAAGGAGTATTTTGGTTCTTTGCCCCTACAATGTTGTTCCCATTTCTTTAACATGGGGAGAAAGATTCGTGTTTTCCCTGAGTAAGGGAGGGTATGGAGGGCTCAGGGCTAGGGCGATTGGGTGGCTACGCACCCTCAGGAGCCAATGCCTGCTCATATAAAAGAGTTTTGACGCGGGAATCTCTATTGCACTTAGTTCGAGGGGTATAGCGGAAGCAAATAGAGCAAGATTGTCGGTTGTGGGACTCTCCTAAGGATTTAGAATGCCGGTCAGCATCCAGGAGATTAATCCCACAGGACGTGCACTTTTTAAAGGATAGAGCGGTCATGACAAAGATCTAGCCTGAAAACAGTTCAGGTCTGGGGTTGGAGAAGGCAGGTCATCGCAAACAGTCCGAGTCGAAGGTAAGTGAAAAGTCAAGCTGAGAGAAGATCCTTGTTGCTGCTGTCTCTCAGAAAGACGAAACTGAGGCATAGCCCCGCCCTGGGCCTTATATAATCATGGGGAGTATGGGCAGGGCCTCTGCCTAAATTTCAGTTAATAATGTCTACATGTTCCAAAAGTTGCTGCGCATGCACAGGAACCCATCTGTGCACATTTCACAGACTACACGAGGAAGAAGGTGCCTCAGTAGAAGACACTTATGCCAGGAGTGCCAATACAACACAGATTTGGGTGTTACACAGTCGTGACAAGGCTCATGGGAGCATAGGTGGCTTTAACATAGTGCAGTTGCATATCTGCTGCAGTTGACACACTTTTTAAAGGAAGTGGCCAAACCCATTTCTTAGGCTAGGCTGAGGTTGGGACTACCAGAAGAGGGATGGTCAAGGTGCATGCTGAGAATAACAAAGAGACAGAAGATGAACTGAGTCCAAGTTAATAAATCAAAGAAAAGCCAATAAACATTCCAAATCGAAATGACCAAAGAATCAGGCCATAAGCCAAGCCTGACAGAGATAAATGCCAAAAACAAAGAAAGAATACATGTTACAAGCCAAAGATTCCTATTGATGATGATGCTGCAGCAGCAGACAAAAAGAAAACTGGGGATTTTGCGGGACCCACCTATATATACCAGCAGGGAGAGTGGGTGGGATTACCACCAAAATGAATCTTTGGAACTCTGGAGATTCCAAAGGTGCTTTACAGATGATAATAGATAATGGATAACCCATTTATGTGATTCACTGAGACCATAAAAAAGAATCAGCTTAATTTTCTAGTAAGAATTCAGGGAGGGGAATACTAAATTAAGGCCCATGAAGCCAAACTTACGTTTTATGTTCTTGCTTCTTCCTGCATTCTATGAATGGAATGTGTTCCATTCTTGCCCATTTTGCTTCAGATTCAAGCTGAAACTTCACCTGAGCACGTTTAGAATCAACAGAATTACTAAAAAGGTGTACAGTTGGGATTATCCATACCCACTGATGAATGTCCTCCTCAATACACCTATTGCAGAAAACAATCAAGGCTTCTTCCATGCTGAAACAGAGAAAAAATAAGAAATTAATGCACAGCAAAGTTAAAATGTTGTATCCAACATCTAACTCAAAGCTAGCAGGATTTCATATAACATATTACAATGTACAATAACTGTCCTTTTCTGATATACAGAGAAGCCCACAATTTCTGGCTGGGCTGGCTAGTCAATCCAAAAAATGTGATTATCATGCTTTCCATCAGTTGGCTGGAGGCAAGTGCCTTCACTCAACGGTGAAAGTATTCCCATTTCAAAATAGATGGCAAACATTCTGACTACAGGTGTAACAGACTAAGATCTAAACACCAATTCTTTGCTAGGTTTCTTTCTCTGAAGCCTGGGCCTCGTATTTCCATGTGTGAGGATATATCCTGGTGACTGAGGAAGCAAGAAATAAGGATGGAAAAAAGACAACACTGACATCTTAACATGAGAGTCTATTTTTGCCAAGGGGAAAAAGGGAATACATTAACCTCATACACTGCTTAGGCAAGGCAAGGCAAGGCAAGGCTGCAAAATGCATTTTAAAATGCTGCAAAAGTGACACCAGATATGGTTGATTATGCTGTAACTGTTTGGTGATTTAAGAAGTCTAAATTATTCATATGTGGTGAAAGTGCATGTCTTAAGTCATAGGGGACGGGGCCTTTTCCCCAGCCAAATTGAGAGAACTGAGACTTCTGAATGAGAGGACTCATCTACACTGACCACTTAGGTAGGTTAGAGGTTGGTTTGGCAGAAACCAGTTTCACTATGCAGATGACTAGATTCTGAAGTGGCACATATAGAGGGAGAAAGAAACATGCTAAGAGGAAGTCATGTCAAGCAAACGCTCATCATGACTACCTTCCATCCGGAAATATATGTCCTCACTGCAAAAGATCATGCAGGTCCAGAATAGGTCTCTGCAGCAACTTACAGACCCACCACTAAGACTCTACACTTGGAAGACAATCATACTTGGCCGCAATGATTTTGATGCTGATGAAAATGGGCCTGTATGTTACATTGGGTAAGATCTGAAATTTCATTCCTACTTTACCCCCCAGGTGAGAAAAGGTGCTGAAATGAACCCTAAAACAGAGAAGAAACATAAACAGATAACAAATAATAAACCAGACTAAAGGATTCACTGGGACTCAGCACTGCTTTAAATTCAAGGTACTCACAGCCCTGGTCGAGATAGAAAAGGTTTATTTTAAGCATCAATATTTTATAAAACTTCAGAGTTACGCAGACAATGCCAAAGTATACATGAACGATTATCTAATGCTCATGTGGTGATCCTTATTTGTGATGTATGTGACCAGTACAGAATGTATCAGGAATGTGTTTGTCGATAAGGAAGTTTCTAGGGTCTGGCACTATATGTAATCATAACTTCAGATTGTCGGCTCTCAGTAAGTGGTATTTTCATTACTGAAATTCTACCATAGCCGAAATGACAAAGCTGAGCAAACAATACAAGCAACACCAGAAACCCCAAAAGCTTCATGATTACAGAAGGAATAGACCCAGCTAGGCACTCCTATCAGGAGAGAAGGCAAAGTCATCCTCAGAAGAGTGCTCAGGAAGAGGCAACATTTAAACACTTTCATTCTCAGTTAAATTGCTGGCACCTCCCAAACAGAGGTAGTATCAATGTTTTGAAATCTTCCACAGCAACACATGTGTGACCCTCCATATGATGCTGCCCTGCTACTCCCAGAATTCTTTAGCATTGACCATTTTGCCTAAAGGTTACTATAACTTGGCAGTCCAAACATGCTTAGAAGGTTGCACACCCTTCACCACTCCAATTGCCACTGGCCTGGCCTCTGAGGTAAAGAACTAGACGTTTCTGATGTATTTATTCCCCCCCCCCTTGGGTCATGTCTTCATTAGATTGTAAGCCTGAAGTCTTAATCACTGAAGAGCAGGTTATATATACTCTACAAACATACACATACATACCACTGAACCTCTGAAAACACCTTTTTAATAAAATTCATTTCATTCACTGCATCCTCTGGTGATTTCTCCAAACAAAGAAGTGAACACAAATGTGACAAGTCATCTTTTGTTGTTGAAAGAGAGTAGTCATTTCCTAATAGAAGGAAGATCAATGGCAGGCCCAGTTTATTTTGCACTGCAATGTTCTCAGATGAGTTCTGATTTAGAAGGGGTTGGGCTACTTCTTTCATATATTTTTGTATTAAAATCTTTATCTAAAGAAAGAGAGAGAAGACTTATTGAAAGTAACTGCACAGATGATGATGACGAATGATGATGCTTATAACATGCTGGTCCTTCTGGAATTCAAGAGGGCTTACAAAAATTAAAAGATATACAGCTAAAACATATTAAATGAATACATCACACATATGTTCAAAATAGAATTCAATAATACAATGAAAAACAGTAAAAAATAAAAAACATATATTATATAAACAGAGTAACACGTTCCAAAAAGGCCTTAGCCCAGCCATCAAAGCTCTATCAAAACAAAAATGGCATCCACCTGCTTAAGAAAGGACAAAAAGGAGGGTGCCAGTATAACCTAGTACTAGAGCATGATAGAGCCAACCAAAAGACCGACTTTCATGTTCCCATCAGTAGAAGCTTGCTTAAATAAAAAAATGTCTTCACCTAGCAGTGAAGAAAAGAGGGAGGGACCAGCCTATCCCACTAAGGAAGAGCATTCAAAAGGGTGATAGGAACCATTGAGAAGGAGCTCTCTTTTGTCCTCATCAAGCAAGTCTGGTGGTGAGATCAAAAGAAAGCCTTCCTCTGAAGATCTTGGTGTCCTGGCACACTCATATTGGGCAATAGCACTTCTGAAAAAGTCTGGACCCAAGCTGCATAAACCTGAATCTTCAGAGAGAGTGTAACTTTATTCTGCACAGACTGAATCACTGTATTCTGATCTGCCTTTTGATTGACCAGAAGCACCTCTGCCTTGCTTGGATTAAGCTCTATCTGTTTGCCTACACTCAGTCCTTTACTGATAACAGACACTGATTTAGAATCAGGACAATTTCCTAAGACCAAGATGGAAAGAGGTATTAGAGTTGAGTGCCATCTGCATATTGATGGCACTGGACACCAAACATCTGGATAACCTCAGCCAAATGTTTTAATTATTTATTTAGTATATTTCTACCCCGCCTTTCTCCACAATGTGAATCCAAGGTGGCTTATAATAACAGTATACAAGTCAATAAAATCCTTCAATCAGGTTTCATAAATAGCATGGTAAACAAAACTGAAGCCATTGCCAAAGGCTTGAGTAGGTTCACATCTCCAAAAATGAACACAGCTACTGTAAAATAGTGCCTCCAAGTTCCAACTCATCTGGACAACCTAGAAGAAAACCATGACTGATGACTATAAAAAATGCAGCAGAACCAAAAGGGACACATTGTCCCGGCTCAGTTCCCAACCTAGGTTGTCTACTGAATCAAAGCTGTCTCTGGCTCATAGCAAGTCCTGAAATCTGATTGGAATTATCTGAGATCATCCCAGGCATCCAGGAATCTCTGTGTCTGGATGATCACCACATACTCCCAACACCTTGCATAAAAATTGAAATGCTGAAAAATTATTTGTTGTTATCCACTATAATGGGATCGATGGAGGGTTTTTTCAATAATAGTCTTTTAACTGCCTCCTTTTGGCATGATGCAAATCTGCCTTGTTCTCATGAGGCATAGACTATTCCCTCTTATCAATTAAGTCCCACTCTGGCTTTTTAAAGTAAGCTATGAAAGGCAAGGGTCTAATATACATTTGTAATCCCCCATTTCAAGAATCCTGTTCACATGCTCAGGCAGTAGAAACAGAAAAGTAGTCAAAGGTACATCTGAAGGGTCTGTGTAACCAAGTGAGAATAGACCAATTTGCTGGACAAGCTGTTCACAGAATGCTGTTGAATAATCTAGATTCCTCTCTTCTTGCTCAGCACATGAAAGCAATTGTGCTGATCAGCTATTTGCATTTGTAATAGTGACTGTAGGTTTACCTGGGGTTATTGCTGTTTTTTTTCTTTTTGCTACCTGCATTGCTACAGAATAGGCCCTCAGAGAGGAACAGGGACATTTTTTATTGGACCCATATGCATTTTATATCAACATTCCTCTAATTGTTACTTCTTTCACTTCACTACCAGCTGGTGCTGGTGAACGAGGTGCTCATTCAGCTCCACTCCATAAGAGGTAATACTCAGAATTAATTCCTGTGCCCTGTTCACTTTCCCAACCAAGAGGAGAAACATAACTGCCTATAAAAAAGCACATGTCAAAAACCTGGCCACAGAATCTCACCATCTCATAGTCAAAGGCAGTCCAAAGTTATATATAGCAATCAGTCCAACAAGGGCAGCACATACAAATAGTCCAGAGTTCTTTCCAAGGGTCAAAGCCAGGCAATCTCACTAAATGAAGTTATGGTTCATTCACCAAAGTCAAGGTCCAATCAAAGAGTTCATTGACAGCCATTCAAGCTGTATCCATTCCACAACATTGCTCCCAACAACTACCAGATACAGCCATTTATGACACTTTTACAATCTGTTGGCCTTCTCTGAGCCAACCAATTAGATCAGTTGACTAGACTAGCAGCAGTGCTTAATTGCAGCCTAGCTCGAAATCTTAACTCCCTGTCTGTTTCCTGAAGCTTTTGATCCTCCCCTAACTCTGCATTCCTACTTCCCTGAGGCTCCTGGTCCTGCTTTGTAGGGATTGATTCCTCAGTGTCAGGCTGCAGCTCTCTGCCTGCCCGACTCAAATGCTGGGTGAAGACACTTCATCTTCATCATCAAGAAACTCTCAAAAGCATTAGGAAGCCATCCAAATCCAGAGTCGGACTCAACTAGACTTAATGTCAAAGGGAAATCTTTATTTCTATCTTTACAGTATAAACTTCTTTCCTCTATAGAATATAGCTCAGTTTCATTTCTGAAAAAGTAGCCCTAATAAGAAGTGCAGAAGAGTCTAAGCTTGCAAATGAATAGCCTCCCAATATTTAAGCACACCAAGGAGCAATTAATACATCTCAAACATGATGCAGCTCTGTATTTGTGGAAAATAGCATTATGTCTCATAGTATTACTCAAATGAGACTATTGTAGAAGAATTCACACATCTACACAGTCCAGATTTTCCATTTCATCCACCTCGGTGGTGGAATAGAAAGTATTGTGACCAAAACCTTCAGTCATCAGTTCTACCTCAGGTGCAAAGAATTCAGCAAAAGCAACACAGACATAACAAGTGAAAGGATGCCATTCATTTTGGTTGTGTTATTTCAGGTACTGGTAACATGGAATTACAATACCTCCTGTTCTCTAAATGGTAGCTCTTCCCATTCCTTTGCACGTATCTCATGTACCATTGGTTTTCTATTCACGAAGTAAAACTGATGGAATTGTTTGAGAAAGTTCTTCACATTAAGAGGAGTCCATGTATTTAGAACACTGAAGAGATTACGAAGCATTTCTTTTGCTGCAAGTTCTTTTCCTTTCACAATTTTGTTTTCTGGGTTTTGAAAAAAGTTCTTGATGTTCTGGTACATAGTATCAGGGGGTTTAGCGCATACAATGTCATCATACTGATGCCAATCTGCTAATGAAAAGAAATCCCTTTAGGTTTCACAGCACAAGTTTCAATCAATATAGTTACCTCCTTGCCTGCTGGTCAAAAGACATTTAGCCGCCTGCGCGCCTTCTATTTTTATCAGTTTTATACTAATTTATGCAATGCTTTTGATACGAAATAAATAACCTCTATGCATCATCTAATTAAACTCATATAGTAGAAATAATTTCTTACCTGTACCAGAGAGATACTCTGAAGATATATACAAACAGCGATTCACAATTATTCCTTTTGGACAAGATTTGTAAATGAATTCATATTCTCCATCCTCCTCACGTTTAATATAATATTTATAGGGAATGTATCTGTTTATATTGTCCTTATGAATGGTTACACAGCCTTGAATGAGGTGACCATGCCCACCAAGATCCCTATTTTTTGGGGGGGGAAAACATATGTACATATGTACAACATAGCAGCAAAGCAAGCTACAGATTTATTGTAAAAACACATTTTGAAGAAAGCAGACATGCATAACAAATGAGATTAACCCTCTATTTAAACTCTTATTAGCTTATTACTGTTAATATTCTCAGGTCAGGTATGCAAGCATGCTCAATGGAAAAATCACTGACACAACTCATTATTTATCATTGTTTTATGGGTTAGTTACCAGAAATTGCTTATTTATATATATTATTTTTCCTTTAACACCCAACAAACCTGCATCAAAATATGACAGTTTATTCCTAAATAAAAATAATAGGATTGTTCCCTCTCAAAATTGTGTACTTCATCCACCAGTTCTCAATTTTTCTTTTTAAAATGCCATCCAGCATTGAAAGGTTACTGAGAATTTTCAGTGGGTAAGTGAGGGACTTCTGAAAGACCAAGTTTTTCACAGTGTTTTCCCCAAATATCCTTTTGTATTTAGTGTTGTGTGGTTTCATTTCTACTGATACTCACCACTCATTTCTACTGACACTGGTGCATTTGTAGCTGTTTAGAGATGGTTTTGGTTGGTTTCAGAATAAAAATCATCCGAATGTAATGCAAAAATGGTTTTGTTTATTTTGGTCTTTGGTGGGTTCCTAGAAATTTCGGGGGTTGCATTTTTTTAAGATCCAAAGGGCTATATGAGCCACAGGCAACTTTTTCTAGTGGCATCCACAAAGTGCATGTCTGGTTTACAGACTGACTTTAATTAACTGAAATGAATTTTCTTCTTCCTCCGCACCTTATCCCTGTCCAATGTATAATATAATTTGTTTTCAGAAAAGAAAATAAAGCTGTATCTTCTTCCTTCAGCATGCAACCAGTAAGCCCAGATCCTGGGTTCTTGTTGCCCTTGTAAAGAAACTTCAGAAATAAAACTCAATCCTCTCCTATCTGGCAAGAGACAGATAAGGCTAAAAACCATTGTTAATGTCACAGATGAAGTCATGCCGTTGTTGTTGTTCATTTGTTCAGTCGTTTCCGACTCTTCGTGACTTCATGGACCAGTCCACACCAGGGCTCCCTGTCGGTCGTCACCACCCCCAGCTCCTTCAAGGTCAATCCAGTTACTTCAAGGATACCATCCACCCATCTTGCCCTTGGTCGGCCCCTCTTCCTTTTTTCTTCCATTTTCTCCAGCATCATACTCTTCTCTAAGCTTTCCTTTCTTCTCATGATGTGGTCAAAGGACTTCATCTTGGCCTCTACTATCCTTCCCTCCAATGAGTAGTCGGGCTTTATTTCTTGAAGTATGGACTGGTTGGATCTTCTCACAGTTCAAGGCACTCTCAGAACTTTCCTCCAACTCCACAGTTCAAAAGCATCTATCTTCCTTCGCTCAGCCTTCCCTATGGTCCAGCTTTCACATCCGTAGGTGACTATGGAGAATACCATTGCTTTAACTATGCGGATCTTTGTTGCCAGTGTGATATCTCTACTCTTCACTATTTTATAAAGATTGGTCATTGCTCTCCTCCCAAGAAGTAAGCATCTCCTGATTTCCTGGCTGCAGTCTGCAATAATATTTGCACCTAGAAATACCTGCCTTTGCATCTGTCACTGCCTCCACATTTTCTCCCTCTATTTCCCAGTTGTCAATCATTCTTGTTGCCATAATCTCTCGTTCGTCTGCCTTTTCTAAACCCAGCTTGAACATCTGGCAACTCTCTCTCCATGTATTGCTGGAGTCTTCCTTGCAGGATCTTGAGCATTACCTTACTGGCATGAGAAATGAGGGCCACTGTACGGAGGTTTGATGAGTCTTTAGCATTTCCCTTTTTTTGGTATGTGGATATAAGTTGATATTTTCCAGTCTAATAGCCATTCTTGTGTTTTCCATATTTGCTGGCATATGGCACGCATCACCTTGACAGCATCATCTTTCAAGATTTTAAACAGTTCAGCTGGGATCCCGTCGTCTCCTGCTGCCTTGTTGCTAGCAATGCTTCTTAAGGCCCATTCAACCTCACTCCTCAGGATGTCTGGTTCTAATTCATTCACCACACCATCAAAACTATCCTCGATATTAGTATCCTTCCTATACAGATCTTCTGTATAGTCTCGCCACCTTCTCTTGATCTCTCCAGCTTCTGTTAGGTCCCTGCCATCTTTGTTTCTTATCATGCCAATTTTTGCCTGAAATTTACCTCCAATGTTTCTAATTTTCTGGAAGAGGTCTCTTGTCCTTCCTATTCTGTTGTCTTCTTCCACTTCCATGCATTGCTTGTTTAAAATAGTTCTTTATCTCTTCTAGCTAACCTTTGGAATTGTGCATTTAATTGGGCATATCTCCCCTTATCACCGTTTCCTTTTGCTTTCCTCCTTTCTTGGGCTTCTTCCAGCATCTCAGCAGACAACCATTTTACCTTCTTGGTTTTCTTTTTCTTTGGTATGTGTTTTGTTGCTGCCTCCTGAACAATGTCACGAACTTCTGTCCATAGTTCTTCTGGGACTCTATTTACTAAATCTAGTGCTTTAAATCTGTTCTTCATTTCCACTGCATATTTGCTAGGAATGTTAGTGAGATCATACCTTACTGGTCTGTGTGTTTTCCCTAATCTTTTTAGTTTTATTCTAAATTCAGCAATAAGAAATTCATGATCTGAAGTCATAGTGGCAACTAAATTCTATGTCAAAATTGGCCTTAAGAAGATTCTTTATGACTCATGAATTTAGAGTATGCATGAACATGCATCACTGCACTTACTTTGCACAATTCAATTCACAAATATTGTCTTTCCAGTTCTGAAAACCAGCAATTCCTCCTGCACGAATGAAGATTTTGTGCTTCTCAGGATCTAATTTGAAGTCTTTAGACAGTATGGCATGAAAATATACTGTAATCCCATCCCTAAGTGAAACATGGCTACAACAGTAAGAAAGAGATAGCATAAATTATTCCGGTGTATCAAAGGAGAAGGCAAATAAAATTCATTCTAAAGGAAAATGGATCCATAATAATCAATTGTCCATACTGAAACTCTACAGATTAAACCAAAATGGGGAAACAAAAACTATCAAGTTGTTTGAATACTAGATCATGCATTAGAAAATTCATTTTTAAGATGCAAAGAAAAGCTAAAAATGTCATAGGTACTAATATAGTATCACTTTAACTGGTACTACTAATTATGATTAGCATGATCCTGGATTTTAACTTGCTTTTAATAAAAGATACACTTACATTTATATACTTACATTTCCCACATCAATCTTTGTTTTTATTTTGCCTAGGTTATTGGTATGTAATTATAATCCTTTGCAAATACCAGCAGGTTCTACTACTATTTTAATTTTTTCTGACTACTCCGAATGATAATCTTCAAGTAACAGGCTCACATATAATCAATTCCTTCTTTCTTCGGCCTCAACAAGCACTGCTTCATCAATCCTATTCCAAGCATAGACACTACAGGTTCTTGAAATTAAGACCTATTTCCACACTCCATTTTAGGGAGCTTATTTATAGCCTGAAGTACTTCAGCTTTTTAAAACATCTCCTGTAAAACATCTTCTGATTTAAATTTCTGGATGACTCAACATGGGAATGCTAAAGTTAACTGCTTATATAGAAAGAGTTTTTAAAAACATATTTATATCCTGCCTTTCTCCCCGTGGGGACTTAAGGCAGATAGCAATCCCACACTTTAGTAAAGCTTAAAAAGTATAATACAAAAGTTAAAAAAACAATTAAATTGTAGAGTGTAGTAAAAACAGGTTAAAATATAGCAAATACACTTCAAATAGTTTTTGCAGTTCAAGATGCACCGATCCTCTTTTCAAATTAACTTATACCTTCCTTATTAAGGTTTACTTTTTGCTTCCAAAATAGCTGTGGGCAATGCCATCTTTCCTTACCGAACAAGAAACAAAAATAGTCTATAGAAATAAATCTTATTAATCAGTTCTTTCAACATTCAAAATCATATCACAATTTTAGAAAGAATGCTATACCTCTGTTTAACTTTATTGACTTCGTCATTTTTCTGTTGATTTCTTGTAATCTGCTTTGTTTGTTGCTTCTGATTTGTAACAGAAGTATTTCTCTTATTCTCAGATCTTTCTATTGGAGTTTCTTTGTTTTCACAGATTCTCCCTATTTTTGACTCACCTTCCATCTCTGCTTTCTGAAACATACAAACATATGCTTTAAAACAAGTATACATAAATTTGCTACCTTTCACCATACATCCATGTTAGCCATTTGTGGCCTGATCAAGAGGAAATGACTTTTTCATCCTGGTTGCAACAAGTGATTAGGTACTTTGACGTTGAGAACAGAAGGGGCCCCAGACACAACCTGTGTTTGTATAAATAAATTATTCTTTCAGTATTGCTAGGCAAGTTCTCTATTATGTTTGATCACCTTCCTGCCCCACCCTCTTATACAAGAAGTATAAGATCATGGAATTGCAGATTTGAAAGTTACTCTTCCCTGCCCCCAACACAAGGATTCTCCTTTCCAGTGTTCCTTGAGCTAGCTAATGTGGACTGTAGGCCTGGGCGGTTTCGTTCGTTAATTTTGTAATTCGTTAAATATTCGTTATTTTTAGCAATTACAAAACAATTACAAAACATATTTTCAAACCCGGAAGTGTTTTTAAATATCGAAACGGCATCCTCCATCTTTTTTACGGGCTTCCGCCCGTTTCGGAAATGACGTTTTAGGGATGGAGGATGCTGGGTGCGCTGGGAGCCAATCCTGCACTCCCAAGCACCGTGGCTGATTGTGATTGGGCGGGCTGCCCTTTAAAAGCGGCTCCGCGTGGCCGCATTGCTCATTGCTGGGGAAGGCGAGGAGACGGGAGGTTCGGGAGGGAGGCTTGGCTTGCATTCATTCATTGCTTGCATTCATTCATTCCCTGGGCTGGGAGCAGCGGGGAGGCTTTGCCCTGTTTTCGCCCCGGCAAGCATTTTTAAATATTTCTGAAAAATATCTTTCTTTTATTCTTCAAAAAATTCAAAAAATATTCTAAAAAAAGAAAAGACCCTTGTGTGCCTGTGTGTGTGAGTTTGTCCCTGTCCTGTGGCTGTGTTCGCTCCACAACAGGGCAAGCATTGTTAATTTTCCATTTTTAAATATTTCTGAAAAATATCTTTCTTTTATGCTTCAAAAAATTCAAAAAATATTCTAAAAAAAGAAAAGACCCTTGTGTGCCTGTGTGTGTGAGTTTGTCCCTGTCCTGTGGCTGTGTTCGCTCCACAACAGGGCAAGCATTGTTAATTTTCCATTTTTAAATATTTCTGAAAAATATCTTTCTTTTATGCTTCAAAAAATTCAAAAAATATTCTAAAAAAAGAAAAGACCCTTGTGTGCCTGTGTGTGTGAGTTTGTCCCTGTCCTGTGGCTGTGTTCGCTCCACAACAGGGCAAGCATTGTTAATTTTCCATTTTTAAATATTTCAAAAAATATTTATAAATAAATATTTCAAAAAAATTCAAAAAATATTCTAAAAACGAAATTAACGAAATTAACGAAATTTCGTAAATACTGAACTTTTTCAAAGGAAAATTTTGTAATTATTTTAAATATCGAAACGCAAAAACCCCACAAATACAAATCGATTTTAGAAACAAATTTTTGCGTTGTTACCCAGGCCTAGTGGACTGGTAACATTTTCCTCTCAGAGAGCTAACAGCCAACATCGTATCTGCATCAATTAGCTACACTGTTTCTGTAACTCCTGGAAACATAAACCAGCACCTAAGGACTTCCATACTACCACTGATCCAGAAATCATCATTTTGAGTATCACTAAGTTCTAGTCTGTATCTCTGCCAGTGGAAGGCAGAACACAAGAAAGCTTGTTATGTGAGTGAGGTACACATTAACTCTCTCAGTAATTCACTTTTGCAATGTTACATCAGCAGCACTGTGGGCTACTGCACCTTGCCGGCCTCTGCCCCCCCCCCCCAAGATGTGTACAAATACAACTTCCATCACTCTACCAGCATAACCACTGGTCATACTGAGTAAGAATTGTGGCAGTTAAAAACCTAGTACACCCAAAATGTGCTGTTTAGGGGGAAATGGGATTAGGAATAATCTGTATCTCATGTCTACTAGGCAGAGCTTTCACGGTGGTGGCTCCTTATCTGTGGAATTCCTTGCCAGTGGGAACACAAGCTCTCCGAGATTTACTTTCTTTTCGTAGAGCTTGTAAAACTTATTTATTTTGGCTGGCATTTGAATTTTGCTGATCGAAGTTTTTTTCTTGATTTTATATGTAATGTATCACATGCGTATATTGTAAACCGCTCTGAGCCTTTGGGGAGTGGCGGTATATAAAATTGATTAATAAATAATTAATAAATAACAATTAAATTTTGATGAAAATTTTAGTTGTATGTTAACAACTTGGCAGCCCAAGATTCAGAAAAAAAAAGAAAAGAAAAAAAGAAATGGCCTGGATACTTTACCAAAAAAAATCTCAGGAAGCATCAGGGGCTGCAAAGTGGGGCTCAAGGGCCAGGAATGGAACACTAGCCACATTCATGAATCATGATGATATTCTGTGTTTTAACACATACTCTTCCCAGTCCTTCCTATGTTAATGCTTTGTCCAAAGCCTATCAAATGCCACGGAAACAAGCACCTCAAGTGTGAAGAGGCGGTGGGATCTGCTTGCAAGGCCGAATCCTAAACTGTCTTTCATTCTAGCTTTACTGCACTTCTCAGCAGCTTTTGGCGTCATCATTTACTAAATCTTTCTGGTAAGCCTTTCTGTTTTGTGACTGAAAGGACTATTTTCACAGTAGTGCCAGTTCATACTGATGATAAGTTCCAAGCAGTCATGCTCTAAGTCTCGTATTGAACACATTTGGCTAATGGCGGCCTGCATCATTTGTCGTGTCATGTAGATTATTCAGTATCTAAATAAAACCTGCAAGGAAGATAAAATACTTGGGAGTCCACTACCACTGATAGGAAGGTGAGCTCTCCCACTCTCATGCCAAAGAGGTCTTTGGAAGGTTTGTCATTCCAAAACCAGCATATAATCAACAGAACTGATGAGCAACTTACTTTGGTAACTGGAACACTGTCCTGTTGCTTGTCTACCTTTCCAACACTTGTTTTACAGCTCGGTCCCATTTCAGATTCAGATTTCACAGTTTCCATGTTATGCTTTTCTGAACGCAATTGTGGATTTTTATTTTCAGAAGGTTCAATACAGGAGTGAATATATGACATGTCCTGCCCATCTTTATCCAAACTCTGATTATTCAATTTATTTCCCAAAGACTGGTCAGTTGCAGAGTTCACATCACTTTCTTTTTTGCTTGAACTTGCATGTTCATCATTTATAACATCTTTTTTGGAGACTTCCTCCTTCATATTTTCTACTGTGACAACAACACTAGTGTGTTGTTCATCAACACGATTTTTACTGTTTTTTCCCACCTTAGCTTTGCCATCAACACTCTCTTTATTTTCTATAACACTTTCTGAATTCTGATTTGTACCCAAGGGATTTGGATCAATCAGACCTCTACTATCATCAACAGACTCAGTATGTGATTTGGTCGGTTTAGCTGTTAGGGTCTGATTTCCTTTCGGGGAGGTATTTTCTTGACTTAGAGAATGATCAAGGGTAGGTAACGTCAAACTTGAGGTTTCTGCCAAGGTTTCCTGATTTTTCAAGTCAGAATCTTTCTGATTATTTTTCTTCTTTTTCTGCAAAACAGAATAAAAATTACTTTAAGAAAACCTCTGTTTTTACAGTTTTTCAAGCAAAAATAATTATGCGTATGTGTATATTATACAGAAATCACTTTGAGAATTCTCAAAGTGCCCGGCCAGCCTAAATGCACGCCACACCTGAAATCTATTTATTTATTTATTTATTTATTTATGTATTTACTATATTTTTCCCACTCTAATAATTGTATAAATTATTGTATAAATAATTGGACTCAGAGCAGCTTATAGTTTGGCAAAATTCAATGCCACAATATACATGCAAAAAGCAATACATAACATAATTAACTAAAAATCAATTGACATATAAATGCGAATTAAAAAACATTAAGACATTCTACAAATAAACATCAGAAAACATATTGAACACCTAAGAAAGGTTCTAGCAAAACAAATAAGTTGAGACAATTGGGAGAGGYTTATAAAGCCTACAAACACAAGGTAAAGCGTATTAATACCTATTAAAAATGGAGCAGGTCAATTGCAGAGGTAGCTGCCAAACATGCATTCCCGGGGGGGGGGGGGCTCTCTCTCCAAGGAGTCTAACATCATGTTTACTAGGGGCTCGAGAGCACGTGCATTTTCTTGCATCCATGGGAGGTCCTGAAACCAACCTTCCATGTATATCAGTGGTTCCCAATCTTTTTTTGACCAGGGACTACTTTGACAAGGGACCACTCTCCAACATTAGTACCAAAAGGGTTATGAGTCAGTTTTTGGTCAACTCTACATTTGGTTTGGTTATTTGCAGTGCTGATTCAGAAAACTGCATTGGATAGAGCACAATAGCTCTAGTTTCTGATACAGAATATATGCCATCCAGTAGTCACCATCTGCTCATCCACAGAAAACCATATTTAATAATCTAGAACTGATATGGTCTATCCAAGGGGACGGGGCTAGTCAGCAATAGAGGAGTGGAAGGTGGCATGAAATTTTTTATTTATTTATTTAGAACTTTTGTATCCCGTTCTTCTCTACCTCTGTGGCTAACAGCAAAAATTCAATGCTATACAATACAAATAAAATAAACTTTCTTGCCTTCTCAGTTCTACAACACTCTCTCAGTATCTACTTCACTAAATGAGAAGGACTACAGCCTTCACACTGCACACACCATATACACAGGTCATACTTACTTTTTCCTGTGAGAATGAGGCCTCACTCTCAAGGCTCTCTGGTAGGGATTGGTCTGTCTCCCTCCGTGCTTGTTTAGTGGGTGGGTGTTCCTCAAACAATGGTCCCAAAGAAGGAAAACCTTCCACATTTAATTCTCCTCCTGGCTCTGTCCCCAAATCTGAGGACAGGTTTGCATCTCTCTTCTCTGTAATTAAAACAAAGGTTCTCTGAAAATCAACTAAAGAAAAATCTGCAGTCACTGCAGAGACAAG